CCCACCCAACACACACATTAGCCTGTGAGCTTTATGATGGCAGCTGTTTTTCCTGTTCTGTTTACTACTCTATCCCCAGCACCTAAAGCTGGGACTGGAATGTATTAGATGCTCAATGAACATTAGTTGAATGAATGAATTCTTTGGGGTGAGTTATTATCAGCCATCTTTCTTTTGTATGGGTTTCTATGACTTGTGGGTGAGAAAAAGGTGGACTGAAAAGGCCAGAGCAAGTGGTGAGCTGGGGGGCAGGAACAGCCCTCTTTTTTTTTTTTTTTTGAGACAGGGTCTCACTCTGTCACCCAGACTGAAGAGCAGTGATGCGATCATACCTCGCTGCAGCCTCCAACTCCCATAATCCTCCCGCCTCGTCTTCCAAATAGCTCGGATCACAGGTGTGTGGCACCACACTGGGCTCATTTTTATTTATTTATTTACTTATTTATTTATTTTAGCAGAGACCAAGTCTTGCCATGTTGCCCAGGCTGATCGCAAACTCCTGAGCACAAGGGATCCTTCTGCCTCGGTCTCCCAAAGTGTTAAAATTCTATGCATGAGCCAGTGTGCCCAACCAGGAAAAGTCCTCTTTATAGGGAGGGGCTGAGTAGGCAGAGAAGTCGGAGTAGGAGGAGGCATTTGTGGCAAAGAAATTCTGTGGATGGAGGCATGAGACGGTCTGGCACATTTGTGGCTTGGCAAGCAGTACAGAGTGAGAAACATAATCCCAAGAGGTGGGCAGGAGGTAGGTCTATCTCCATGACCCCTTGAAGGACACTTTATTATTACACGTATTGTAGGGGTGAGAAAACGGAGAGATCATAATAAATGTCAGAGACGGGACTCAGCCCCTGGCAATGGGGACCCGGCAAAGGGTTTTGTGCAGGAGAGTGGCAGCATCAGGCATCACTTCGCTGCCTCGGCAGCACGGAGGATGAAAGAGACAAATAGGCTGGGCCTGGTGGCTCACGCCTGTAATCCCAGCACTTTGGGAGGCCAAGGCGGGTGGATCTCCTGAGGTCAGGAGTTTGAGACTAGCCTGGCCAACATGTTGAAACCCCGTCTCTACCAAAAATACAAAAATTAGCTGGGCGTGGTGGTATATGCTTGTAATCCCAGCCACTTGGGAGGCTGAGGCAGAAGAATCACTTCAACCTGGGAGGCAGAGGTTGCAGTGAGCTGAGATCATGCCACTGCACTCCAGCCTGAGTGACAGAGTAAGATTCTGTCTCAAAAAAAAAAAAAGAGAGACAAGTTCCTCTTTAGCAGGCACAGTACCCGGGAGAGAGGGTGGGGCCTCAAGCAGGTAGTGGCAATGAGATGGAGAGGAGAGAAAGCCCCTCCATGGTGGCCATAGGATATAGGGGTTTAGGAAAAAGAGGAGTCTAGGAAGAGCCCTCTGGATGGGGTGGTAGATGGATGGCGAAGCCACTCAGAAGATAAGAAATAGAAAAAAGAGGTCAGGCACGGTAGCTCATGCCCGTAATCCCAGCACTTTGGGAGGGCGAGGCAAGAGGATCCCTTGAGCCCAGGAATTTGAGACCAGCCTGGGCAACATAGCAAGACCCCATCTCTACAAAAAAATTAAGAAAATTAGCTGAGCATGGCAGGGCATGCCTGTAGTCCCAGCTACTCAGGAGGCTGAGGTGCGAGGATTGCTTGAGCCCAGGAGGTCGAGGCTGCAATGATCAAGAAGCAGAACATGACCAGTGGGGCCAGGCACAGTGGCTCACACCTGTAATCCTAGCACTTTGGGAAGCTGAAGCAGGAGGGTGGCTTGCATCTAGGAGTTCGAGACAAGCATGGGCAATATAGTGAGACCCCCATCTTTACCAAAAAAAATAAATAAATAGAAAAATTAGCCAGGCCTGGTGGCACATGCTTATAGTCCCAGCTACTTGGGATGCTGAGGTGGGAGGATCACTTGAGCCTGGGAGGTGAGGCTACAGTGAGCCGGGAGCACACCACTGTACTCTAACCCAGGCAACAGAGCAAGACCCTGTCTCAAAAAAAAGTCATTGTTAACTTCCTCTGAAAGCACATAATTTGGGACTATGGGGCTGTCCTAGTCTGTTTGAGAAGCTATAACAAAATGCCATAAACTAGGTGGCTTATAAACCACAGAAATGTATTTCTTACAATACTGGAGGCTGGTAAGTCCAGGTCAAGGTGCTAGCAGATTTGGGTCTGGTGAGAGCCTGCTTCCTGCTTCATCCCTGGCACCTTCTTGCTGTGCCCTCCCATGGTGAAAGGGGCAAGCTAGTGATATGGTCAGGGGGCAGGGTGGTACCTGGCTCAGGCCCCACCCCCAGGCCTGTGCCCACAGACCTAGATGAGGACAGGCACAGACCCAGGCGCTCCTGCCTTGGTGCCCAAATGTTGCATTTCCCAAAACCCCCCTGGCCCACCATGCCCCCCATCTGGTGCCTATAAAAACTCTGAGATCCTAGCAGGCAGACACACAAGCGCCTGGAGGTGGAGAGGACCACATTGGCAGAAGACATGAATGGCTGGACGTCCAGAGGACGTTGAGAGAGGCGCGCTGTCAAAGAGCACGTGACAGACGCCCGCAGGCAGTAGGCCACGGACCAGCGGAACCAGGCGGAGTTTGCCCCGGAATGTCAGAGAAGAGTAGAGCCACCTAGCAAGTCTGACTCCAGGGGAAAACCATCTCCCTTCTGGCTTCCCCATCTGCTGAGAGCTACTTCCACCATTCAATACAACCTTGCACTTATTCTCCAAGAGCATGTGTGATCTGATTCTTTTGATACATCAAGCCAGGAACCTCAGGATACAGAAAGCCCTCTGTCCCTGTGACAAGGCAGGGGTCTAATTGAGCTAGCACAAGCCGCCTCCGGACGGCAAACTAAAGGACCACCCTGAAACACATGCCCACTGGGGTCTCAGCTGTAAATATTCATCCCTAGACACTGCGGTGAGGTCGGAGCTCCACAGCCTGCAGTCTGTATGCTCCCCGAGGGGCTTGAGCAGCGGGGCACTGAAGAAACGAGCCACAGCCCCCTCACAGGGCATGCGAGGGGGCAAGGGGACCTTTCCTATTTCACTAGCTCCCTGGGGTCTCTTTTACACAGATACTAATCCCATTTAAGAGGGCAGAGCGTCATCACCTCTCAAAGGCCCACCTCTTACTACCACATTGGTGATTAGGTTCCAACATATGAATTGTATGGGGGAAACTAACATTCAGACCGTATCAGGGATTCTGGTGGCCTCCTACAAAGATGGCACTCCCCAACCTTCATGGCTACCTGAGACGGTCAGTTCTGCCCTAGCAGGTGAGCAACCAGTGGAACGAGCACCCAGGAGAGAAAGCAGTGTGTGGAGGCTGCAGGTGAGCGTGGCCTGAATCTTCCCAGGCTAAGTGACATGTCCGGTTCACTCCACTGCAGCCCCTGCATAACCCATGGAAGCACTCACCCCCGGCATGGTCCAGTGGCCTGTCTTCTCCTGGGTCCTCAAGCCCCTTCGAGCAGAGAGTGAGGCTTCCACTTCAGAAGGCCTGGGCCCTAGTACAGCACCAGGCCCACAGTGGATACAAAAAAGTGGTTGCAGAACGGGGAAACGTGTATTATTGAAATGAAAACTTTTATCATTGTGATGAAAAAGGCAAGACCATTTCTAAAAGCTTCTTGTGAGCATCAGATTAGCTTTTTAAGTAGCAAAGTGGTTAAAGGAGGGACTTTTATTTCCAGTTTTTATACTCAGGTTTTGTTTGAAATTTTTCCAGTAGTTGTGTTGCCTTTATTATCAGAAAAGAAGGAAAAGTGTTTGTTTTATTCAAAATGTCTGGGAAGGCCAGGTGCGGTGGCTCACACCTGTAATCCCAGCACTTTAGGAGGACAAGGTGGGTGGATCACCTAAGGTCAGGAGTTCGAAAGCAGCCTGGCAACATGGCAAAACCCAGTCTCTACTAAAAATACAAAAATTAGCTGGGCATGGTGGCTGTAACCCCAGCTACTCATGAGGCTGAGGCAGGAGAATCGCTTGAACCCGGAAAGCGAAGGTTGCAGTGAGCCAAGATTGCGCCATTGCACTCCAGCCTGGGCGACAGTGAAACCCAGTCTCCAAAAAAAAAAAAGGTCTAGGCAATGCTTTTCCTCACTTCTCTCAAGGCTCATGGCTGAGACCCCTATGACAAAAGACAGTTTAATGACGGAAAACCATCCCTCATTTAGCAGAAACCCCATCTCTACTAAAAATACAAAAATTAGCCAGGCATCGTGGCGGGTGCCTATAATCTCAGCTCACTGCAACCTCCACCTCCTGAGTTCAAGTGATTCTCCTGCCTCAGCCTCCCAAGTAGCTGGGATTACAGGTGTGCGCCACCATGCCCAGCTAATTTTTGTATTTTTAGTAGAGACAGGTTTTGCCATGTTGGTCAGGCTGGTCTCAAACTCCTGACCTCGTGATCCACCCACCTCAGCCTCCCAAAGTGCTGGGATTATAGGTGTGAGCCACTGCACCCCGTCATAATTATCTTTTTTTTTTAATTTGAGACAGAGTCTCGCTCTGTCACCCAGGCTGGAGTGCAGTGGTGAAACCTCCGCCTGCCAGGTTCAAGCGATTCTTATACCTCAGCCTCCCAAGTAGCTGGGATTACAGGCGTGCGCCACCATGCCTGGCTAATTTTTGTTTGTTTTTGTAGAGAAGGGGTTTTCATCTTGGTACTCAGGCCGGTCTCAAACTCCTGGCCTAAGTGGCCCACCTTGGCCTCCCAAAGTGCTGGGATTACAGGTGTGAGCCACTGCACCCGCCTTATAATGATGATCTTGTTCTTTCGGTTTAATTTTACTGTCCCTGGCTTCTTAGCATCTATGGATGTTTTCCTGGCAGGTATTTACTCACCTTGAATTCTTCCAGAAGGGGTCTTGTTAGCTTTCATGTGACTATTTCTATTTCACTTTTCCATGTAACAAGTGATGCTGTTGGATCTCTCTTTCTTTTATTCATCGGATTTTTTCTGTCTCATCCTTTTGCTGTAGCCACATTGGGATTATCGTCTACAGAGGTATGTAACAGGAAGAAGGCTGCAATGTACATGCATAATGCTTTTGAAGATTTTCCTAGCCAAAAATAATGTAGAGCACTATCACTTTTTAAAAAATGTATTTTGAAATATATTTCGGCTGGGCATGGTGGCTCATGCCTATAATCGCAGCACTTCGGGAGGCCAAGGCGAGCAGATACTCGAGGTCAGGAGTTCAAGACCAGCCTGGCCAACATGGTGAAACCCTGTATCAAGTTAAAAAATACAAAAATTAGCTGGGTGTGGTAGTGCACGCCTGTCATTTTACCTGCTCAGGAGGCTGAGGCAGGAGAATTGCTTGAACCCAGGAGGTGGAGGTTGCAGTGAGCCGAGATCATACCACCGCACTCCAGCCTCGAAGACAGACTGAGACTCTGTCTCAAAAAAATGTATTTCTTTGGTGATGGTGGCAGTACCACATTTGACCAAGGCAAGCTCCACCACTGGTGTTTGAGAATGAAAGTAAACCACGTCTTGAATCAGATGGCACAATCTTCCAGGGGATGTTAAAAGTCTAAACGTGGACTGGGGGCTCCCCAAACTTCTGAAGATAACTATAATGGGGTGAACGGTGCCCCCTAGATGGGTGTATCTGTGAGATTATTAGTTGGTTGCCCAGGGTGGCAGACATTTACTTATTTAGAATGCAAGATGAGCGGTAGCTGTGTGTATGAAGGCTGGATTAATAGCTCAATTTGGCCGCTGAGGCAAAGCTGCCGTAGACGGTGTGTAAGGAGCGAGTGTGGAGTTTGATCACTCTAGGGGTGGCAACCTCAGTTGCCTTTGACCGTGACTTTTCTGACGTCCTGCTTCTCTGGTTGGCTGCAGGATGAAGGCGAGGACCCCTGGTACCAAAAAGTATGCAAGTGCGATTGCCAAGGAGGAGCCAGTGGTCTGTGGTCTGCCAGCGTCACGTCCTTGGACTGCATACCAGGTGGGTTTCCCCTCTCCTGGGGATGGAACAGTCATTAGGAACACCCCATAGCTCTTCCTTTTTCCCACTCACTTGAATTAACCCCCTGAATGCTACCCTCATCTTTAGAATGAAAGATGAGTGGTAGCTGTGTGTATTCATGTATTACCATTATTAACAGTAGGTTAATGTAGGTTTTCTCCAGTTGGCCTCTGAGCTTCAAACCTCACACTGGGCCCTGCTTCAACACATCACGTTGGTGTCGGTGTTGAGAAACGGCTCCCTAGAGCTCCATGTCTCCAGGCTGGGATGGTAGGATGGGACCTAACTTTCAATGAAATCGATGAATGGGACTGATTAAAAATAAATTAATGAGAGGCCGAGCGCAGTGGCTCATGCCTGTAATCCCAGCACTTTGGGAGACCGAGGCGGGTGGATGGCTTGAGCTCTGGAGTTTGAGATTTGCCTGGGCAACATGGTGAAACCTTGTCTCTACTAAAAATACAAAAATTAGCCGGGTGTGGTGGCTCACACCTGTAGTCCCAGCTGTTCACGAAACTTGAATCCGGGAGGTGGAGGTTGCAGTGAGCCACTACACTCCAGCCTGGGTGACAGAGAGAGACTATCTCAAAAAAAAAAAAAAAAAAGAAAGAAAAGAAATTAGTGGCAGGCAGCCTGGAATTTTGAAAAGAGAACAGGATCTAGAGCCAGGAAGCCCAGGGCTGAAATCCTGGCTGTGTCACATCTGGACTCTGGGACTGTCACTTTGTTCTTTGTGCAATGAACGTGATGATAGCACCATGCTTGGATGCTGCCTGCACACCACACAGCCATGGGCTTCCCTCCCAATTCCCAGCCTCCTTGTAATTAATCAGGTGGTGCCATCTAAACAGCTCCAGCCAAGGTGAGCAGGCCACTTTCAAAATGGCACTAAAGGGCTGGCACTCAACTCTCCAGCTCTCTCTTTCCTGCTGTGAAGCCCCCTGTTGAGATAGTGGCTTCTCCTTCAACCTAGTCCTTGCGAGATCATGTGGAGCAGAATCCCCTGCCTACCTACGACCAGTCGTCTGAGTGAAAAATAAACCTGTGTTTTGTGGAGCTTCTGAAATTTCCAGGCCAATTTGTTCTGCAGTTGATGTAGCCTATGTCTAAGACAGGGGCCAGCAAACTTTGTAAAGGAGCAGAGAGGAAATATTTGTGGCTTTGTGGACCAAAGGTCTGTCAAAACTACTCCATTCTGCCCTTGTTGTTGGAAAGCAGCCACACACATGGAAATGCTCAAGCATGGCTGGGTTCCAATAAAACTTTATTTACAAAACAAGTAGAGGGCCAGATGTGGTCCACAGGTCATAGTTTGTTGACCCCTGCTCCACAGGGTTGTCAACAAGGAATAAATAAGATGAGGCATGAAAGCAGCCTGTGGGATACCCAGCGCACTGTTGAATAAAGGTTGGTTCCTTTTCCACCTGCCTCCTAAGAGCTCACACTCTGAGGAGGGAGTGAGCATATCCAATTTTCAGAGGCTTGCGCAGTACCTGCTAATATTTGCAATGCTTAAATCCTTTCCACGCTCAGAGCTTATTTTGTATGAAACTGGCCTTGCCACCTCTCCAGGGTTATGATGGTATTGTACCACTTCATTTACTTTACACAATTGCCTAATAATAGTTCCACAAGAGACAGGTTTGTGTATCTGTGTGTGAGGCTCTTTCCATTATTTCATTAAATTTGCATTAAAAAAGCAAATTGCAATGTGTGTGTGGGAGGGTAGGGTACAATGGCTTCTACAGCGTGATTTTTCCATTTTCTGAAGGGGAAGTCATTTCTGAGCCAAGTTTGTTTTCCAAGGGAACTGTGGAGTCCTGATCGTGAGGAAACCAGTGGGGTTTTCCTATGTGACATCCCATCAGACTCCGCGGTCTGAGCTCATGCAGCCATTAAATGTTGGCAAGATGGGCTCAGTCAATACTGACACATCCTTGTTAATAATCCATTTATAAATTGATTCCCCTGTCTTTCAACATGTGCCTATGATGTGTCAGGCACTGACAAGGAGACAGAAATGAAGGCATTGTCTCCACCTTAGAGAAATTTACCATTTAGTGGAAACAAATGTTCTTTTCACTAGAGACATGAGACCTCCTGGAATTCCATTCCAAGTAAGTTCTGTCTAAGAAGAAATTGAAAAGACATTGTTGATGTGGATTGGCTTCATTGACCCAATCAAGTTTGAAACTTCAAGTCAGGCTAGGTGTAGCCTGGGCAACATGATAAAACCCCATCTATAGATGGGGGGCATGGTGGCTATAGTCACAGCTCCTCAGGAGGCCGAGGTGGGAGGATCACTTGAGCCCAGGAGGTTGAGGCTGCAGGGAGCCATAATCATATCACTCCACTCCAGCCTGGGCAACAGACAGAGACTCTGTCTCAGAAAAAAATAAATAAATAAAGCAAGCCAGGCGCAGTGGCTTACACCTGTAATCCCAGCACTTTGGGCAGCTGAAGTGGGCAGATCACGAGGTCAAGAGACGGAGACCCTCCTGGCCAACATGGTGAAACCTCGTCTCTACTAAAAATATTTTTTTAAAAAATTAGCTGGGTATGGTGGTGCATGCCTATAGTCCCAGCTACTTGGGAGGCTGAGGCAGGAGAATCTCTTGAACCCAGGCAGTGGAGGTTGCAGTGAGCTGAGATCACGCCACTGCACTCCAGCCTGGTGACAGAGTGAGACTTCGTCAAAAAAAAATAAAAAATAAAATAAAAAAATAAGAAAGACCATGTGTTTGAGGGATGTGATGTTGACTCTGGTCCCCAGAGCTGTCTCCCCTACACAGCTGTCATAAGCTTAAAGTTCTAAAATTAGAAATTCTTTTATCCTAAGTGTTCTCCTCTCCCCACTGTGTTTTGGCTTTGTTTTTGACAATGCAGATATTTTCAGAAAGGAAAAAACTCAGCCTCAGTGTTCATGGTTAATTAATTCATGTTAATTGGTTCTTCCATGAGAGAGATGATTCCGGCACTGGGACCAGCCACAGGCTTGCAGAAGGCACTTGCCTGTCAGTCCCTGGGATTCTTGCGGTATGCCAGGAGCGAAGCTTGTTCTATCCGGGCCTTGTGTATCAGGGCTTCTCTCATAGCCTTCCTCACGAAGAAAGGGGACCCTGGACAGCACAGAAGGACAGGGGGTCATTCAGAGCTGCCAGGAGGAGCTGGCAGGTGCACTCCGACTAATGCCCGCCCCCCCCCCCCCCCCCGCCCATGGAGCAGAAGGCCACGTGCATTGTGGCCTCCTAATCTTCACTTTAATGCTATTTAAAATGCTAAAAGCTCTGTCCTCTCCACCGTTGAGCCAAGATTACCCCGGCACTCTAACAGAAAATAGGGTAGGGAAATTATTAAAAGTCTATGAAATCCCCTGGTTTGCTAATGCTTCCTTTTGATTCTAGATTTTCTATTCTATGTGATACTTGAGCTTATAATCCATTCTTCCGCAAATATTATTCTGTATATTTTTTTCTGTACTCTACTATATTGTCACATATATTCAAGTCTAATATATATGCATAACACTATTCACATGTGTCTGGAATCTCATGTTAAGAATGTCCCTGAACTCTGTGTTTCTTTAGGTCTGCATGCTTCATAAGCCTGCCTATAAACCCAGAAAGTAGCCACTTAAAGGCTAGAATATGAAACACACACAGCCTCGGGTTGGTAATATTGCAAATATGCCTTTATCCGTCTCATGATCACACCATGGCTCAGAAGAGCCATTTGGGCCACAGATGTAGGTTTTTCCTTCAGGGTGAAATGAGTACAGAAACAGGTCTAATAGCTGCAACAATGAAGTGACATTGGGCAGAAAACTCGGCAAGGTCATATTCTGTGTGTGTCTGATAAAAATCCCCCTTAGTTCTTTTTTTTTTTTGAGATGGAGTCTCGCCCTGTCACCCAGGCTGGAGTACAGTGCCGGATCGCGGCTCACTGCAACCTCCGCCTCCCAGGTTCAAGCGATTCTCCTGCCTCAGCCTCCCGAGTAGCTGGGATTACAGGTACCCACCACCACACCCAGCTAATTTTTGTATTTTTAGTAGAGACAGGGTTTCGCCATGTTGGCCAGGCTGGTCTCTAACTCCTGACCTCAGGTGATCCTCCCTCCTCAGCCTCCCAAAGTGCTGGGATTACAGGCGTGAGCCACCGCTCTTGGCTTAGGATCCCCTTAATTCTTTCACGACACTATTTATGCTGCCTTCTAGCATCTACTCAATTTATGTTGACGAGGCCAGAGGTCACAGTCAGCATCTACTTCTTCCCTCAGGCCTCTGCTGCCTGTTTCTGTCATTTCCTCTGCTTGTCCCCAGCGGCCACCTGAAACGGGGCAATGGTGTTTGTTCATTCATCTGTCCACCCACCCATCCAGTTAATACCTAGAGAGTGCCCAGCACCTACAGGCATTCTGCTCTGCTTGGGGGAGAATGGGGAGGGAGGTGGGCAAAGGGAGATGACGATGAACTATGGCCGAGGAGGAGGAGGGGTATGTGACAGGTGTGGAGGGTGTTGGGGAGGAACCACCTGGGGCCCCTTACCCAGCTCAGGGCAGACAGAGATCTGAAGGCTGAGGTGTGGAGGACCAGGCAGAGAGGTAGGGATGGGAGGGGACAGCCTCAGGGAAGGCCTGCAGGCCACACGCAGACCAGAAAAGAGCTCGACCAGACCCCCTGAAGGAGGAGGAAAGGGGAAAAGGAGTCAGGAAAAGTCACAATGAAAGAACTGGAGTGCGCTCTTCCTCAGGGCACAGAGTGGGGGAAACGGCACATTTTCCATTTTTCCATGTTAGGAGAAATCAGCTGGAGTTCCCCTTGTAATGGCCCATGAGGAGTCTTTGGACAGGATTTGTGAAGGTTTTTTCTCCCCCTTTAGACCCTCGAGCCCCCCAGGAGCTTGTGAGGGCGGCCTGGCCACAGCCTCACCGGAAAGTGAATGCCAAGCTCAGTCCGAGGGACCTTTCCGAGTTTTCTGAGGGTGCTCAGGGCTCCCAGACCCACCCTGGTCCGGACCCTCAGGGGAATCAGGTCCCTCCCCACTGTACTCTCAGGCCCTCACCACGCCCTGGCGACTTTAGCTGGGGCGGTGACTTCCTTCTCTTGGACAATGCACTAATTCCTGGTGGGACCTAGATCTTCCAGGTCCATAAGCCTGAGGGATGCTGTCGACGGGGCTTCTCTCTCACATCCTTCTCTCTCTCTCTTTCTCTCTCTCTCTCTCTCTCACACACACACACACACACACACACACACACACACACACACACTTGCTCCTGCCTGGGGCAAGGAGCGAAACCATTAGTCACATGAAGCTGGCCTCATTCTCTGGAGGGTGTGGCCGGGTACGTGGGGCAGGGGAGGATAAATGGCAACAGAACAGAGTAGGACAGAGAGAGGGCTGCTGGATTTCCTCCCGATTGAGTCTTTGCCAGAAAAACATGCAAAATTCAAGATCTCAATGTAATCTCACGAATTCACCTGCACCAATGTCATGTACCTGCTGCTTTTTGGCCAGACGCTGTGCTCTATGAACTCTGCAATCTCCAAATAGTTTCACTTAATCTTACAGTGATTTTATGAAGACAGGTACTACTTACTGTCATGCCCCATTTCACCGATGAGGAGATCGAGACCCAGAGAGGTTAAGCATCTGGCCTGCGCTCTCTGAGAGGGTGGGCCCCTACCCCAGGTGTCATTGGCTGAACGCAGGCCTGCTTGACCATGACTGCCCATTACAACACTGCAGCTTTGCCCCACGCCCAGGTCAATGATATCAGAATCCCAATGCTGTGGCCCGAATATCAGCATCTCTACAGCTCCTCTGGCAATGCCGAGGTGCAGCCCAGGCTGAGCCCCACCATCTAGAGTCTCTGCTTACCGGATTGCTTGGTTAGGGTTCTGAAATCAGCAATGGCTGGGGGCCGGGTTGTCAGGTGCATGGAAGTGCCTCGGACCTCGAGCTCTGGGTAGGGAGCAGTGAAGGTTGAGTGATGAAGGACTCGGTTTGGGACATACGGAGTGTGAATCTTCTTTGGTTTACCACAGGGGATGTATCCTCCTGAAAGAAATTCAGAGGGCAGTGGAATGAAGCTTGGGGCCAGGGAGTCAGGCATCAGCCTCCAGACACGAGCTGAAGCCAAGGTGACAGTGAGATCATCACCTTCCCTGGGGAATAAGTACAGCATCCACATCTGGACACACAGGTCTTTGGATCACAGAGTGAACCACACATTCTCTGTTGCTTGGACAGGCCCTCCCAAGCCGCTAAGGCCATTGGCCCTGGTCAGGTACCTCTGCAGGCCTACAGCCCACTCTGAAACGTTAGAAGGGCTATTTGGGAAGAAATGACAAAAGAGATGTAAAGGGGAAACGCACGAAGAAGAGCAAAGTGCCAAGAATAAGGTGACTGGGAGAGGTGGCACTGTGTTTTTCCCTTTCCCTCTGCCTCCTCCCTCAGAGCTGGTGACCCGGAACAAAAAAAAAAGGAGGTTCAGTCATCAAATGCTCAAAGTGGAGGGGCTTCAGAGACAACCAAAGTTAGAATTTTGCCCATGAAAAAACCCTGCCACCTGGCCTTGTGCCCCGCTCCTGATCGCTTGGGCTTGTCTTCCTGGCTGGAGGGGCAGCGAGAGGGTGGAGGAGCCCTCCAGTCCACAGGCACTCAGTCCTCGGGATCTGCCAGCCCGCAAAATGCCTTCCCTGGCAGGCCAAGGCTTTCAAAGTGCACTTTCAAAAGTGAGCTTGTTAAAAATGCAGTTGCTCGGGGTGGAGTCCTGGAAACTGCATTTTTAATAAGCTCCCCTGATGATTCCCTGGCCACACAAGGCAGGATTGAATGGCCCACAAAGCACTCCTCTTCACTCTCCCAGAAATTGACATGATCGTAACAGACTCCCAAAGTCTTGAGTACTTGATAAACTACAAATTCTGTGTCCTCACCCTGAGCCCCACAGAACTGCAGATGCTAGTGGGTTCAGGCCTATTCCTTTGGTGCATTTGGGTAGAAAGGAAGTTAAGCATCCCTGGCCAGAGGTCTGAAGCTGACCTGTTTTTAGCCTCTGGGGACAGGGCATAGCTGCTATGCAAGCACGTTTCATTTGACTTTACTGGCTTTTGAAAAATTCTCCAGCGAGACTTCAGCCCTCGTTTTACAGGTAACGATGCCTCAGTAAATACGTTCGGCCCTTCAACCTGAAGTCAAATTTACAGATGAAGAAAATACTATGATTTGCTTTATTTCCAGTTTAACATTCACCATCAGAAAACTAGGAGAAGGAGGTGGGACGATCGCTTGAGCCCGGGAGTTAGAGTGGCAGAGAGCTGACTGCGCGGCTGCACTCCAGCCCATGTAACAGGGAGATGGTGCCTCTAACAAGAAAGGAAAATACATTTGCCATTTGTTTTCTGTAAACATTCAGTTAGGAACTGGGTTTGGTTATAAGTACAAGACCCCCTAAATACTGGTTTATTGATTTAGGAGTTTTAACTTACATGGTAAAAAAATATTAGGGGTAGGGAGTTACAGTAAGGTTATCAAGGCTGAGGTTTCTGCAGTTCTTTTTTCTTTTTTTTAGACAGGGTCTGCCACCCAGACTGGAATGCAGTGGTGTGATCATGGCTCACTGCAGCCACAGACTCCTGGGCTCAAGCAATCCTCCTGCCTCAGTCTCCCCAGTAGCTGGGACTACAGGTGTGTGCCATGAGATGGGATTTCCCTATGTTGCCTCAGGCTGCTCTTGAACTGCTGGCTCAAGTGATCCTCCCAAAGCACTGGGACTACAGACATGAGCCACTGTGATCGGCCTCTGCAGTTCTCTTAGCCTTACCCCCATGGTGCAAGAAGTCTAGGTGACAGGAAGAAAGAAGGGGCAAGCAAAACCTGAACAGAAATCCCAGCAGGCAGACTTTGTATCTCACTGATCAGAAGTGATGTCACGTGGGCACTTCTAAATGCAAAGGAAGCTGAGAAAGGCCCTGTATTCAGCTGGCTCCATTGCTGCTCCTAATGAAAGGGGAGGTCTTTAGTCAAAAAGAAGGGGAGGCTGGCTGCAGTGGCTCATACCTGTAATCCCCAGTGCCTTGGGAGGCTGAGCTGGGCAGATCCCTTGAACCCAGGAGTTCGAGACTAGCCTGGGCAACATGGCAAAACCCCATCTCTACAAAAAATACAAAAATTAGCCGGGTGTGGTGCATGCACCTGTGGTCCCAGCTACTTGGGAGGCTGAGATGGGAGGATCACTTGAACCCAGGAGGCAGAGGTTGCAGTGGGCTGATATCACAATACTGCACTCCAGCCTAGGTGACAGGGTGAGGCCCTGTCTCAAAAAAAAGAAAAAGAAGAAGAAGGGAAGAATGAATGAATACTGGGTTTAAAACTGGCAGCCTCTGACCAGGTAACTGGACACTGTGTTTAATGCGAGGGGACATACAGACGAGAGGAAGGGAGAGAGAATTAACACAGAACAACCTTTGGCTACTACCCCTGGGAAAAAGCAGTTCCTTTCAGCTGTTTCTCATTCAACAGTTCCCCAAGCACATTTCACCCATTTTTTTTTTCATTAGACTGGTGAGAAAACTGCAATTTACAAGTAGGAAGTCACTCTCAATATCTCAACATGTAATCGCCCGTCTTGCCTCTCACTATGGTTTTGTCCCTATCATTAGCATCATCTGCTGCCCAAAGACAATGAGGGGATGGCTAAATATGTATTAATGAAGGAAAGAAAGATGTATAGCATTTAAATATGGTGTTCCGCTGTGCACCCCTTGGTTTTCAGATCTCTAAGTTGGCGGAGGAGGTGAGGCATTTCTCAAAATTCCACACAACCCTTGTGAGGTTGCCATAGAGCCCCTTCCCTCTGCTTTTACAAAAGCTGTGAGTCTCTATGGCAATTCCTTTACTTCATCCTTCATTCCTTTCTCGCATGAGTAGTGAACCGTTGAAGACCCAGCTCTACTCATTGTGAACCAAAGAGACAGGTAAAGCCTTTTGCAGCTCCCAAGTGCAAAGCAGATGGGTTTGTTATTTCAGTCACCTGGTGCTTGTTGAGTATTGAGATATGCGTTTGAATATGCATTCTTTTTCCTTTCCCAGAATGCCCATATCACAAGCCCCTGGGTTTCGAGTCAGGGGAGGTCACACCGGACCAGATCACTTGCTCTAACCCAGAGCAGTATGTAGGCTGGTATTCCTCGTGGACTGCAAACAAGGCCAGGCTCAACAGTCAAGGCTTTGGGTAAGCAGGGCCCAGGGGATTTTTTTTCATGTGCTTTAAAAAAACATACACCTCTCTACCATCTTGGCCAACATGGTGAAACCCCGTCTCTACTAAAACTACAAAAAATTGGCCAGTGTGGTGGCACGTGCCTGTAATCCCAGCTACTCAGGAGGCTGAGGCAGGAGAATTGCTTCAACCTGGGAAGTGGAGGTTGTGGTGAGCCGCACTGCACTCCAGCCTGGGCAACAGAGGGAGACCCTGTCTCAAAAAAAAAAAAAAAGCCTCTAATGACACAGAATGTACTTATGAGTGCTGTGGGGGAGATGAAGGAAGAAAGACCTCATCCACGCAGCCAGCAAAGGCTTCCTAAGGAAAACATATTTGACCTACAACTTGAAGTTGGCCAGATGAGGGAGGGGAAGAGGTGTGGGGTAGGTACAGCAGGTGCAAAAGCCCTGAGTTGGGACGATACCTCCAGGGTATGGATGGGGAACATAAAGAGGGCAGCAAGGGTGGAGCACAGCTGAGGCGAGGTGGAGAGGCAGGCAGCGGTCAGACCCTGCAGGACCTTAGAAGCCACGTTAATGACTGCGGTCCTTACTGCGGGGATAATGGGAGGACCCTGAGTGCAAATTAGTTAGCATACAGATTTATGCTGCTGTAACAAAGAGCACCAAAATACAGTGACTTAATGTAGCAGTGTGTTTCTTGCTCACTTAAAAGTTTCATTCATTAGCTGGGTGTGATGGGTCACGCCTGTAATCTCAGCACTTTGGGAGGCCGAGGCAGGTGGATTACCTGAGGTCAGGAATTCAAGACTGGCCTGGCCAACATGGTGAAACACCGTCTCTACTAAAAATACAAAACTTAGCCGGGTGTGGTGGCAGGTGGCTATAATACCAGCTATTTGGGAGGCTGAGGCAGGAGAATCACTTGAACCTGGGAGGCAGAGATTGCAGTGAGCCGAGATCACAGGCCACTGCACGTCAGTCTGGGCGACAGAGCAAGACCCTGTCTCAGAAAGAAAAAAAAAATGTTTCATTCAGCAGCCTAGGGTTGTTATGGCAACTTGATGGCGTGAGGGGCCCAGGCTCTACTTTGTTGTTCTGTCATCCTTGACATGAAGCATCTATCTTGGGGACCAAAATGGTGGCTCTGTCTTCTACTATCACATCCACATTCTAGTTAGTGGGGAGAAACAAAAGAGCAGCAGAGTGCACACGATTTGCCTTTAAGAACACAAACATATTCTGTTGGCCACTTCTGCCCACAGCCCATTGACCAGAGTTTGGTAGTTGCAAGGGAGACTGGGAAATGTTATCTTAGCCAGGTGGCCATTTGCCCAGATGAAACCCAGGGGTTCTATTACCAAATGAAGACGGGAAGGAAATATTGGGCAATAATTAGCAGACTCTGCCAGAAAAAGATTTTAAGTCAAAGAGTGTCACAAGCTCATTTGTGTCTGAAGAAAAGTTATCTGATTTCTGTGGGGCCTGAGTGATCCAGGGAGACTAGTTAAGTGAGGTATGGCAAGAAAGGAGGGAGACATGGGCTAGAATGGTGGCGGTGGAGACCCACAGAAATAGAGGAAGTTGAGATACTTGGAGATGGGGCCGATAGATGGACTGGGCGCTGGAGGTATGGAGAGGAGGGGGCCCAAGACGGTTCTTAGGTGGCTGCATGGATGCACGGAAGGATGGATACTCAGAGATGTGGGGTCTGAAAGCGGGGTGGGGCGGGGGCATTTAGGGGCTCACATTGGGAAATGTTTCATCTGAGATGCTGAGAGGCATATGGAAGTCCTCTAGCTGGCAACTGAACTCTCTGGATTTGGAATTTAGAAAAGGTCTGGGATGGAAGTAAAAAGTCAGGAGCCACCCAAGAAGTAAATCTGGAAAAAGAAGAGAAGGCGGCCCAGGGCTAAGTTGTACGAAGCTAATTAAAATACACACTAAAAGGAAAAAAGGAGGCGGCGGGGGGCACTGCGATAAGTTTCCACAATTTATGAGAAATGTAGCTAAAAAAACAAATTAATTGGCCAGGCATGGTGGCTCACGCCTTTAATTCCAGCACTTTGGGAGGCCGAGGCGGGGCGGATCACCTAAGGTTGGGAGTTCAAGAGCAGCCTGGGCAACATGGTAAAACCCTGTCTCTATTAAAACCACAAAATTAGCTGGGCATGGTGGTGTACGCCTGTGATTCCAGCTACTTGGGAGGCTAAGGCAGGAGAATCACTTGAACCCGAAGGTGAAGGTTGCAGTGAGCCCAGATCATGCTATTGCACTCCAGCCTGGGCAACAAGAGCGAAACTCCATCTCAAAAAAAAAAAAAAATCAGTTGCTTCAACGGTTATCTGACTTGAGGCTTGTCAAAGCCCTTCCAGATCCACATGGGTCAGTGCTCTGCACGAGGTAGACACTTCCTGAATGCCAGGGATGTCACCATCCGAGGGAAACACAAATAGGTGTGAAGAGAGTGAAATGCACAGTGACAATCACCTGGGGGGACTAAGGCACAAGGCAGGGGCTGATGGTGTAACAGCCATGCACCTGCATGCTTTGTAGACAGACATGTTCAACTGTGCCCAAAGGCAATTTCAGCTATTCCAAGGCATTTCTTTGATAAATTAGTTGAATCTGGCAATTTTTTCTCAGGAGGTGGAGGTGCAGGGAGAGGGAGAATGAGATGCAAGTTAAGTGTAACAGAGGCTGGACACTCCTAGAAGACAAGGCTCAGACTGCAGCCCAGACTGCCCAAGCTTGGCTGGGGGCTCTTCAGGTGCTAACGTCCCCTTGAAATCCAGCACCTGTGGGCTTTTTGCAGACATGCACAGGGGAAGGTTCCCGGTGACTCAATATGTTCTCGGCAGGTGCGCCTGGCTCTCCAAGTTCCAGGACAGCAGCCAGTGGTTACAGATAGATCTGAAGGAGATCAAGGTGATTTCAGGGATCCTCACCCAGGGTCGCTGTGACATTGATGAGTGGATGACCAAGTACAGCGTGCAGTACAGGACCGATGAGCACCTGAACTGGATTTACTATAAGGACCAGACTGGAAACAACCGGGTAAGTTGGACTTATCCCAAACCACCTTCAGCTCACACCCTCTGGGGCTTCTCCTCCTGTCCCTGCACTCCTGTAGCTGTCCTCTGTCAGAGCACTGACTCTGCGGCACGGTGGGTCATCTACGCTTTCCCCCACAATATGTTGTGCCCTCTTTCCTTGTCTTGCCTTGGTGTCCAGCAGTTTGCCAATGAGTGCCACTCTTAGGTGCAAAAAAAATTGTGTCTGAGTTTCCATATCAGTATACAGTTGTCTGAATTCTTAAGACTGACCATTTAGACTATTTCAACTCACTGTATCATTGAACTTTGCTTCACAGGTGTGGTCTGATGTTACTGATGTGGGTAGACAATCATCCATTTATATAGATGTGGCCTCTCCTATTGTTTGAGACTGACAGAGGGGAGCCTTTTGAGAACCTAGCAAGTAGCCATTAGCTAAATGGTTAAAAGACTTCACCAGCACACACACAGAGGAACTTGAACCTTCAGGCAACTCCATATCCTATTGATCTTTGTGGATTGAGACCGAAGTTGTCTTCACCATAGACTAAACACAGTAGGCTTCTGACTACATATATATAGATTTGCTATGAATAAAAATGAATTAAAAACTCCCTAGCTCTTCGGAAATGTGAAACATCCTTGTGTCTAAGAGTAGGAGATCCCCAGGCTAATTTCCACATTTAATCAGGTTAAGTAGACATGTACAGCTGAGATTCAGAAGGCTTTGTAAGTCTCTGATGACAGTTTGTACAGCAAGACATTCATGGGTTGTTTCAAGGAGTTTGAACGCAATAGGAAAAACCATCTTGACACTTGGCTGTTTCATTTCACTTTTATTCTTACTAGCTGGCTTCTCCAAAAGACAGAACTTTTTCAAGCCCTGTGCTTCTGAAGGTCTTGAAGGTTCTTTGCAAAGAGGCCCTTCACCCCTGCACTTGTGCAATCTGGTGGGGCCTGTTCCACCTTCCCGTCTCTTCATCTGGCTCCTGACTTGAATAGGCTCAAGCACAAATAGAGAGGGCAGTGTGGAGCGGTGCCACTGTGAAGAAAGGCAAGAACATGGCAGACAAGGCTCTTCCCATTTTGTGGATGGATGAGGCCAAATGCAACAGCCAGATATTTTCAGGAGACGATCCCAGAAGGGAATGAAATGTCCTAGTGGCATCAGGCAGAGCACCCTGACTTTGGTAAGAGGGCAAAGAATGATTTCTTTGGAAACAGCGTCAAACACCCACAGCATGTTTTTATGTTACATCTTTAAAAACACTAAGCAAACTCACTTTTTCTCTACTCTGGCACCACCCTCCCCTTTCCAGAATCTTCCTTTGAGTTTTTATATCTTTTTTTTTTTTTAGATGGAGTCTTGCTCTGTTGCCCAGGCTGGAGGGCAGTGGTGCTCTCAGCTCACTGCAACCTCCGCCTCCCAGGTTCAAGCAATTTTCCTGCCTCAGCCTCCAGAGTAGCTGGGATTACAGGTGCCCGCCACCGCGCCTGGCTAATTTTTTTTGTATTTTTAGTAGAGATGGGGTTATTGATGTAGGTAGAGAATTGTCCATTTATAAGTGGTGTGTTGGCCAGGCTGGTCTCGAACTCCTGATCTCAAGTGATCCACCCACCTCTGCCTCCCAAAGCGCTGGGATTACAGGCATGAGCCACTACACCCGGCCAAGTTTTTATGTCTTTTTTAAAAAACATTTTCCAAGTTGAAAAGGTTCATCACTTGTATCAAAGTAGGAACACACATTTAAGATTTGGCTTACAAATCCCGAGCCAAGTATGGGTTTTCACTTGAGCCCTAATTTGGATACCTTTAGAACATGTAAGTGTGATGTGGGCCTTTTCAAACTGTCAAAATGCAAAGGACAAAAACTCAAAAGTGATGAGTCAAGAGGCATTTTCTAGCAGCACCCTCCAATAGAAGTTTCTGTGATGATGGAAATGTTCACATCTGTACTGTCCAATATGGTGGCCACTGGTCACATGTAGCTATTGGCCACTTGAAATGTGGCTAATATGTCTAAGGTACTAAATTTTTTTTTTTTCGAGATGGAGTCTTGCTCCTATTGCCCAGGCTGGAGTGCAGTGGTGCGATCTTGGCTCACTGCAACCTCCACCTCCTGGGTTCAAGCGAGTCTCCTGCCTTAGCCTCCTAAGTAGCTGATATTACAGGCATGTGCCACCACACCCAGCTAATTTTGTATTTTTAGTAGAGATGGGGTTTCTCCATTTTGGTCAGGCTGTCTTGAACTCCCGACCTCAGATGATCCACCCGCCTTGGCCTCCCAAAGTGCTGGGATAACAGGTGTGAGCCACCACACCGGGCCAGAACTGAATTTTTATCTAATTTTAATGAATTTAAATGTAAACAGACATATTGGCTAGTGGCCACCCTATGGATGGTGCAGTTCCAGATGTCCTGAGCATGGAGGTGTGATGACAATCACTCAAGGTCAGATTTTAGGGGGCACCTGCAAACTCACTGTGCTTTAACCACTCTCTAATCCTTCCACAGTTAAAAGCTGGGGCTAGCTCCAGAAAGGAATCCTTCTTCCTTTTCCCTCTTCTGATGTGACGGTAACAGGATTTCCTCCATCTCTCTAGGTCTTCTATGGCAACTCGGACCGCACCTCCACTGTTCAGAACCTGCTGCGGCCCCCCATCATCTCCCGCTTCATCCGCCTCATCCCACTGGGCTGGCATGTCCGCATTGCCATCCGGATGGAGCTGCTGGAGTGTGTCAGCAAGTGTGCCTGATGCTCACCTCGGCTCGGCACCAGCCTGGGGGTGGCCAGCACACAGTGGGCCCGTAGGAGACCCCTGACACACCACCAGGGTGGACAGGGCTATATTTCACAAAGTAATTTTAACTGAAGTATGGGGTAGAGAATGTTGCTTTTTTTTTTTTTAAGATATAGCTTTCTGATTTCAATGAAATATAAATGAACTTATTCCCCACTCAGGGCCAGAGAAAGTCAGAACAAAGAAAATGGCCCCGAAACCAATTTTCTTACAGCAAGCCTAAGTAGCAGGGGTAATTTGCTGCTCATTTCTTTTTCTCAGTGACACTATGAAAGGTGCAGTCTCAGGAGAACACAAAGCAGCCCTGATAATTTGCAAAGTCCTTTGCTTTACCACATTCAAGACAAAAACGGTTTCCTAAAGCCTGGCTTCAAATGCAGAAAGGAGCAGTTCCTCCTGGTTAAGTTTCCACTAAATCATCGCCAAAGAGGACTTCACAGCCCTGGGGAGAGAGCTGAGAGTCTCCAGGGTGACTGGGTGGCAGGGATAAGTGTGGTGGGTGAGAGTCCCGGTGCCCTGAGAGGCTGTACATTACAAATGACCAAAAGCTCAAGTTAGGGGAGGTCCCTCTGCTTGCAGTTCTTACCTTCAAGGTCCACCCCCGACCAACCCAGGGATCAGGGAGGGTCCAGAGCTCCCTATACACACAGCTCCATTCTGCAATCCATTCCTGCAAATTCCCCGCATCTGTGGTCCCCATTTAGGTGATCACACAGCACAGGCTGTACATCTAAGTATATGTAGGGACCCCAAATGACCATAGAGCAGCACAATTACCCTTTACCTAGGGCTACCATTTCACAGCAAACTAAACATATTTCGAGAACAGCCGGCCCGGGAGCTACCACTGGCTACTCAGAGGCCCATTAGATCGCTACAGGCTTAGTAGAAGTGGGAAGCACTCACATCATAAAAAGGACCACGTGGCTTTTTCCCTGAAAGCTTCTCACCCTCTACCTTCTGCCTTGTGCCTGCTCCTGAAAAGCTCTCTGGGAAGCAGTGGACCTCACCTTCGCTTCCTGGAGGCGGCGCCTTAGATTGAGAGGCTTCATTGGCCACTTAGAGCCCAGGCGGACTTTCCAGGCCCCTCCCTGGGAGAGGCTGTTAAACACCGGGGAGGAGCAGGAGAAGTATATGGAGAGGAAGTGGTGGAAGGAGAGAATGAGGCTGCTCCAAAGACTGTCCTGGCCCTAGACACAGGGTAGCCTTTGCTAGGAGCTCATTTCTGAGTTACTTTTTGTTTTCAAATGCCAAGGCAAGTGATCAGACTCGCGCTAACACAGTCCTGGACAACACATTCACCTTCCCTGTGAACAGAGAGCCTTCTAAAAGCCCCAGATATCCTCCTTGATGTTTTGGGGGTTCAATTATTTCATATGCAACCCAGCATCATTCTAGTCCCCATGCTGTATGCTTGAACTTCGGAAAACGATTTTCCCTGCCCAATCTTGTCTCAAATATAAACATATCACACAGGGTGTCGGGGGAAAATCCTCTCCCTGGCCTTAGGACACAGGAAAAATCTATTTCGGAAAGAAATGCCTGAACAGAGAGAGACCCTTATTTGGAAAGGTGAATTAACTTTGGTCACGACATGGACTGTCAGACAAAATGGCAGTATCCTAAGAATTAAGGACTTCCATAACCGGCACATCAAACACAGGAGTCAAGAGAGTGCAGTTCAGGGAAAAAGGAAAGGAGGAAACTGAGGCAGGGGAAAAATGTTCTCCAAATAATTGTTCATGTTGGAAACTTTTGTAATGGCTTTATTGAAATTTAAGTTCACATACAATTTGCATCCATTTAAAGTGTACAATTTGATGACTTTTGGTATATTTAGAGTTGTGCAACCATTATCACCTAATCAATTTTAGAAAATTTATCACCCCAAAGAGAAATCCTGCACCCATCAGCCATCACTCCCCAACCCATCGGCCACACCAAGCCCTCTGTGATCACAAATCTACTGTCTCTATAGATTGGCCCATTCTGGATGTTTTCCATAAATGAAATCATATAGTATGTGGGATTTTGTGACTGGCTTCTTTCACTTAGCGGTGTCTTAAAATTCATCCACGTTGTAACATGTGTATCATTATGTCACTTATTGCTGACATCACAGTTCAGTATCATGTCAAGACCACAGTGTTATTTATCCATTCATCCATTGATGGATATTTGGGTTTCCACTCTTTAGCTATTATGAACAATGCTGCTATGAACATTTATGTATAAGTTTTTGTGTGGATGTGTTTTTTCATTTATCTTGGGTATACACCTAGGAGTAAAATTGCTGGAACACATGGTCACTCTTGTTTAATCTTTGGAGGAACTATCATCCCAAGTGACTGCATTATTTTACGTTTCCACCAGCAATGTATGAGGCTTCTACTTTCTCCACATCCTGAGCAACACTTGTTACTGTCCATCTTTGATTATACCCATCCTAGTATGTGTGAAGTTGCATCTCACTGTGGTTTTGATTAGCATTTCCCTAGTGACTAATGGCCATTTGCACTTCTTTGGAGAAATGTCTATTCAGATCCTCTGCCCATTTTAAATCGGCTTACAACTTACTGAGTTTAAGAATTCTTTGTATATTCTAGGTATAATTCCCTCTTTGGATATGACTTGCAAATATTTTCTCCCATTCTGTGGATTTTTTTAATCCTCTTGATAGAGTCCTCTGAGGCACACATTTTTAAACATTTGATGAAGTCCAATTTGTTTTTCTCTTTGCTTGTGCTTTTGGTGTCATATCCGAGAAACCACTGCCAAATTCAAGGTCATGAAGATTTAACCCTGTTTTCTTCTATAAGTTTTATTGTTCTACTTCTTACATTTAGATCTTTGGTCCATTTTGAGTTAATTTTTGTATATGGTGTGAAATAGGAGTTCGACCTCATTCTTTTGCATGTGGATATCCAGTTGTCCCACCACCATTTGCTGAAAAGACTATTCTTTCCCCCACTGAATGATCTTGGCACCCTTGTCAAAAACCAGTTGACCTTAATTGTGAGAGGGTTTATTTCTGGAGTTCGAATTCTATTACCTCACTTTATTCATTACTGTAGCTTTGTATTATTGAAATTGGGGCATGTGAGTCCTCCAACTTCGGTCTTCAGGATTGTTTTGGCTATTCTGGGTTCCTTGAATTTTCATATGAATTACAACTAACTTGTTCATCACTGTAAAGAAGCCAGCTGGGATTTCACATTGGAAACCGCTCAATACTTCGGAATTTAATAAACAATAAGATATACGATTCGTAAGACATTTATCTGCAGGTAATTTGCTTACAACAGCGTATTATTTACTTCATTCAATTCATGACAGAATGTATAAAAACTAAAACTTTTATTGAGGGAAATCTGAAGCCTAACAGATTCTTGCTGTCAAACACACAAACTATGCTTCAGTGTCATTTCTTTTGTGGGGAAAACTTTCAAATTAAAAATTATACGTAACATAGGAAAAACTCACTGTTATTTTAACAGGTTTACTTTTATTTTTATAAATGCTGGAGCGCGGTCTACACTGGAGGAGATTTTTTTTTTTAATTGCAGTAAAATATACACAACATTTGCAGATTTTTAAATAATTAAATGAAATGTTATGAACAAAGAAGTAGCATTAAGTGTTGCCAATATTAAGAAAAAAATTCTGAGCTGGTTTGGGACTCAGTGTGGGAGGAGGTTACTTGGACAAAGCAAAGGTATTTCCAGATCGAGGCACTGCTATGAATCCATTCTCAGAGCCCAGAAGATTGTACCCCTAAGTGACCCTCAAAATGGATGCTCACAGAAGCCTGCCTTTCTGTCCACGTGGGGCTTGGTTGCAAAGGCCTATTGACAAAAGCTTACAAGGGCTGTCACTTCTCCTGTGGTCCCAAGAGTAGTTCCATGCCGGGTCATTCTTAAGCCCAACGTTACAGGGCTGATATGAAGAGAAATAGGATACGTGCATCTAAAGGGCTTTGTGGCCACCTACTAAGCTCTGTTTAACCGGCATTCAAGATTCAGTGATATTCCTTCTCAATTTCCTGAAACTGCCAACTGGGGCAGAAATAATAGCAGTAATGTTTTATAATAGCAATCATGTTATAATAGCTCATATTTCTTGAGACTCTGTCAAGTGCTCTGCTGCAGGTTATCTCATTAAATCTTCACAACAACACTGAGGTAGGTACTGTGATTACCTCCATTTAAAGATAAGGAAACTGAGTCACATGAGATGTAGGAAATAGAGCCAGGACTCCACCCAGCAATCTGATTCTAGATCCTGGGCTTTTAAAAAAAAATTTATTGATTTATTTTTGAGATGGCATCTCGCTCTGTCACCCAGGCTGGAGTGTAGTGATGTGATCTCGACTCACTGCAACCTCTCTCTGCCTTTTGGGTTCAAGTGACTCTCCTGCCTTAGCCTCCTGAAGAGCTGGGATTACAAGCATGCGCCACCATGCCCGGCTAATTTTTGTATTTTTAGTACAGACAGGGTTTCTCCATGTTGGCCAGGCTGGTCTCAAACTTCTGACTTCAGGTGATCTGTCCACCTCAGCCTACCACAGTGCTGGGATTACAGGCATGAGCCACCGCACCTGGCGTGATCCTGGGCTTTCTAAACCACATCCCCAGATGACCTCCAGTGACTTCTTTCAATGAAATGTTCTATTCTCAAATCATATCAATTACCATCTGTAAGGAAAGGGGATGACAGCTGGCATATAAATTGTTGTGAGCTTTTAGAAAAGAATATGTTATACATTGCGGGGACTTATTGCCTGCTCTAATTAGTACATTTATTCCATCAGTGTAGATAGCCATTTCTGTTACCCTTTCCTTCACTTGACTAAGTTGTCTTTATTTCTGCACCTAGAGTAAACTTTAGGCAAAGTTCATAATATACTCTGTGTTGGAAACTGTTTTTGAAATTTGAACCGTAGAGTTACTTGAATAAACCTGAATTACTAAAGAGAAACAATACTGACCATGACCACTGTTATGCTCCATGTCAGTTTCCATACATGGAGGTGCAGTGACTTTTAAGGGTATATGGGCTTTACAGTGAACATATTCGGCTTCAAATCCTGGCCTTGCCACTTCCAAACTGGGTGACCTTGGGCAAGTTAATGTTAAGTGTGGAAATCTGTTTCCTCATTTACAAAAAGGGGATAATAATAGTACCTGTTTCACTAGGTTGTTGCGAAAAAAAAATAAAAATAAGAAAAGTAAAACACCTGGGCATTGTGCCTGGCCATAGTAAGTGCTATGAACATTAAAAAGTGTAAGCACCAAATACTTTGATTCAGTCTTGTTAAGTGTACAGTTTAAAGCACAGGCCATAAGTTTCCATGCTACTTAAGGAGACAGAGTGAAGAACTGATTGACACAGTACTTTTAAGAACGGAAAGCACTGACTTTTAGCTTCTACCCTTTGTTTAGAAAGACAAAGAAAACTGGAGAATATTTTATATATGTTAGCACAAAATTGAAGTTCTTTCTCTCCTGATTGAACATGTACTTGGTTGGTCTTACCCTAAATGATGAAACTGAGGGCCTAATACAGGAGTTAGTAAACTATGGCCTGTGTCTATACGTAAAGTTTTATGGGACCACTGCCACACTCGCTGATTTACATATCATCCATGCAGCTTCTGCACTACAAAGGCGGAGCTGAGTAGTGGTGACAGGAACCTGATGGGCCACAGAACCCCCAATATTCATCATCTGGCCTTTTAAAGAAAAAGCTTGCCCACTTCTCTAGAATGAAAAAACCCTTATTACGCTGTCCATCTTTGCTTTCTCCATAGCACCTAGCACAAAATCGACCTCTCTTCCCATCCTCCTCAAACCACCACATGAGTATCTAGCGACGTGCAAAGGTGACAACACTCAAGTATAAAAGAAACCAAAGTTTTCAAAATGCCATAAGGGGAAAAAAGCTTTATAAATAGGAAAACAAAGATCAACATCATTAAGTTACAGGATTTGCCTTGTTTTACATTAATTTCTGTCTTTTAAACTGATTACAACCTCAAAGGCCCATCATCCCTCATTTGAATTCGAATGCATTCTTTCTTCCCAAGAAGGAACTAAAATAGAGCTGTTCGCAGTTAAACCGCGAAGGACCACAGTGCTCAAGATCGGGACGGCCTGGCAGTCACATCAGTCAGTGCAAAATCTGCATTTTATTAAAGACATTTGGGAAGATCCATTCAAAAATACATTGTGCTCAGTAAAAATTAACCATTTCATGCTGATAATGAAGGTTATCACGGAGTAGATATTTGTGTAATATTTACAGCAACAATAGAAATTTTACATAAGTTTAGAATGGAATTACATGCCAGAAAAAACTCGATAAGATGTACCAACACATGATACAAAGAGTTATAGAAACACCTTACAAATGGTTCATAATTCACTTGTGAGGATTTAAGTATTCAACACTTTAAATTCATTTTGAATTCAAAAATTAAAAAGATTAACAATCACATCACACCCTTGCCACAGTAAAAAGTATGGAATTACACTTTATATAATGGATTATAAAGTCTGTGCAATTAGGAATTTCCAATGAATCTTCATCTACCACATACTAGATGTCACATCATTGTGGCTTATCCCTATTTTTAAGAATGAACAGGGTCTCAATGTCACTCTGCCCTGTGTCTTCCGAGATACCACCTTCAAGCTTACAAGAGACTGAAGAAGTTCTGAAGAGTTAGCTAAGTATATACAGAATAACTACCTGAATTCAAAATGGCACAAAGCAATTCTTGGAGATAGAAATTTGGGGCAATGATTTTGTTTGGTTTGTTTTTATTAATCAATCCAAGTTTACAGTGAGAATTTACTTCTTTTAATCACCGTATTACCCCTCTAGCCTGACTCCATCGGTGACCAAAGAGTAAACAAGGGGAGGGGAACAGACTGAGGGCCAGAATCAATTGTGTATCTCTAGAGGAAACAGGCTCTCTGCAAGCTTTGCTTTCCATTTTGGAAAACCTAAGCTGTGCTGGAGAACTTACACATTCTCCGGGAGGATAAGCATCTTTTTGTTTTGTTTTTCCGTGAAACTCTACAGAGTTCAAACTGAAGCTTTTGACAATTCTGGCAATAAACACTTTAGTCCCCACAACAGGGACAAAAGTCAAGGCATCTACCTTTTCTATTCCTGGGTTTCTTCTGATTAGACCTGAAGCAGAGGACTAGGACAAGCTTGTCTACGCCTAAAAGAAATCAGATCAGACATTTGGGAAAATAAAATCCCCAACCAAGGGAAGTCCTGAGGAATTCTTAGCAGTCTGTCAAAACAGAGGGGATGGAGGAACAGATAAGGCCTCTTTCTCCCTGATACTCTGTGTTGGAAGAGTAACGAACAAGGCAACTTCTAATCTGCATACAACATGGAGACCGATTTTCAAATTCCAAAGGAGGATCAAAATAGGACCCAAGGATCAAATGGGGTTTTGAGAGCTTAACCTTGTGGGAAATGAAGGGCCTTGGAAGTGAAACTAGTTTCACGGCTGCAGTTTTCCTGGCCCTACAAATCCAATGTGCCAACTATTACAATTTTTTTCTGGCAAAATGAGACAAACTTCCCTTAAATTTGGGAGTAAACAGTGGATGAATGAAAATGCAAGGCAGGTCATGATCATATTTAATAGCCTACAGTAAATACACGGAAAGGTGGGGTCAGTGCCCGGTGAGGAGAAAGTGGAGCCAAGACCAAGCCTAACGCCGATGAATGGACAAACCATCGTGGGAAATAGAGATTCATGTAGTAACTGGCTCACACGAAAGCCTACCATTTGTATAGTACATTCAATTCACAAAGAAAAGATAGAATCAAAGGGGGCAGCAGGCTCAGAGTTTCCTAGCCACCCCACTCCTCCCACATCGCGTGTATGCAGATAGATGAGGGATTTCATTTTCTTGCATGGTTTCTTACTCATCGTTTCTGAGACAGAATTCTTCATCGGCTGAACCAGACCTCAAGATATTCTGTATCTCAGTTGGTCAAGAAGCAAAAGGAAGAAATCATAACTGCTTACAAGTTTGGTTTCTGCTTATTTTTGTAAGCCAGGCTTTTAAGTCTGAGAGGACTTTCTTGTGAGATTCTGGCCCTGGGAATTCGTGATAGGACACTTAAAACCTTTGTACTATCTTTTTTTTTGTACCTTTGTACTATGTCCCCTTTCAAAAAAAAAAACAAAACTAGAATTGTGTTTTTTTTAAACTATTAATAAGTTTTCTCTGCCTAAACACTTTCTTGGTGATGAACTGAAGGAGGCAAGGAAATATCTCACTATTTTCTGACTTGGTTCAGTGTACCCTACCGCATTCCAAGTTCACAAAAGTATGAGTCTGTGTATCTTAGAACCCACACAGAGCTCAATATCCCACTATCATGCAGGAGGTAACGAACTTCTAGGCAGAAAAGCAATGCTCTCCAGGAAATATGTTCTGACCAGCAGAGAATGTGCAGATTTACTGAGTCTCAGCCGAGCTCCAGCACTGAATCACACTGAGCCACTGCCCTTGCTTAAAGAGTTCAGTCACCACCAGGTCCTAGGTGAACAGAAATGGACACAGATCTTTCTACACACTTGAAAAGTAATCCTCTGGCCTTTGAAAAAACGTTGTACACTATGAGTCATTCTCAATAATACATGGCTAGAAGAAAATAAATGGCTTTTTTCCTTATTTACTCTAAAGACTAGTTTAAGAAGTGAGGATACTATGATCTTAACTAAGAGGGGCTGGAAAGGGAAAATGGGATAGCATTTCCTAGTATAGTCCACTAATTTTCAGATTAGGAACATGCTAAACTGGCTAACTCTACAACCACAACATACTTTATAATACACGGCATGACTAGAGACTGACCAGCATAGCTCTGAGCTTAGAATTAAAGTACAACTGCGTAAGGTGAATCTTAAAGCATGTTTTAAAACAGATTTAACCAAAGCATACAGCACAAATACTTCTATAACAGCCACATCACAACCACCAATACGGACTTTTTTGCTTCTAATTGGTCTGCCATATGCTAATATATGTAAAGAGCTATTAAATGACTTGAATAAAAAACAAAGACATTTTCTTTTGGGAGACACAGCTAAAAGCCATGGATGCCTTTGAGCAGTTGGTAAAAATCCTGCCAATCTGCCAGGCTGTTGCTTGCTTCTAAATATAAGCCTCGTGGCTCTATGAAAGATTTTCTACGGATGCTAACCTAGAATTTAAGTTCTCCAACACCTATAAAGTAACTCTGGTCTCCTCCCAAAGTATGCACCTTTTAGCAGGCCCAAGACAAGGAAAACGAACAACAGGATTCCGAGGATTCAGGAACAGTGGTAGAAGACTCTTAAGAGAATGTGGTATCGAATAATTCATACCTGCAGTACTGCAGCCTGGACAGAACAAGGGCAGAGCCAAGCTCTGCAGACTGGTGGGCTTGGATGGTGTAGGGCAGGGTTTCTCAACCTCAGCACTAGTGGTGCTTGGGGCTGGACCACTGTTTGTTTGGGGGGCTGTCCTGGGCATGGCAGGATGTTTAGCAGCACCCCTGGCCTCTACTCACTAGATGCCAGTAGCATACCATCACCCTGATGTGACAACCCAATGCCCCCAGACATTGCCAAATATGTCCTTGGGGGCAAATCTGCCCCTAATTGAGAACCACTGCTGTAGAGTCAGCTCACTTGAGCCCCTCAGCACGAAGAACTCCCTTTCAGTCTTGGGCTCTAGAAAGAGGCTAAATTTTAGAGCAAGACCAAACAAGGTTCAGTTAAAGTTTATTTAGAACTTTTAGAGAAGAAAAACGAGGACGGCAGAGAAATAAAGGTAGAAAAACAGTGAAGCAGAGTTTCTTTTCCAAAGGAAATCAGTGATAGTTTCATAAAAGTAACATAAGCTTTCATTCACCCTTTTTCTTCTTTAGGAAGTTAGGGCCAATAATAGGACATGGATGTCATAAATTCCCCTTCCTAAAGAAATGGCAAAATTTTCTGACTTTAAATCAAGTCCTTTCTATCATGGATGGCAATCTTTGTGATGTCAATAATTCTTCATCAACAAGAGGGGAAAACAACAGTTAAAAGCTAAGAGAGGGCCCATAAGGTTGGCAAGAAAACTTTATAATCCCCCTCCGTGAGTAGGAAGAGAATTGCATGCTAGAAATGCAGATTGTTGTTCACTTACAGCTTATTGGATGAAAAGTCAGAACAGACAAAAGCTGAGAAGAGGATTAAAGAGCTACCTCGAAAACACTGGTTGAAAACATTTGTAGATATCTGTAGGTATTTTCTGGCTCAAATCTGGGAATGTACAAAAAGTACGTATTGACTCTTCAGCAATTAGGTTTACTTTGCTCTAGATAGAAGGCAAATATGCTAGCCCTTCTTTGAAGAACCACTATGAATAGAAATGTTCTGCAAACATCTGAGATCCCAGTGTTAGCAAGGATGACAACATGGGAAACCAGCCCCTAGGTGACAACGAGCCTCGAATGCCACAGCATGGCAACGGGACCGTGCAGTTCCTAAGCGCATAGCACAGTGAGAAGTCTTCCAGAGAAAAAAGTGTAGTTTCTGGTTTGCAAGGGGGAATACAAGGTAGAGATCTAATATGAAAAAGAAGAGTTAAATACACACCCTTTTAGAGTCATTAGTGTCCAGGCAAAACTGCTGATGGTCCACCTCACTTGTATCATCAAGCAGCTGCCTGGGAAAAGCCAGAATTCAGAGCTACCCACTGAACTGGTAAAAGAAATAAGACAGAAAAAGAACTAAAGAGCATGCAAAACTATTAATTTAAGTCAAATTGTTTCAGTAATAGTACCCAGTCGAGTTTCGTTTTAGTGCCTATTACACTTATTAGAATTAAATAAAAAGCACCTTAAAATGACCTATCTATATAATCAATACGCATTATAGTATTTATATAAAAATGCAATATATGCACAATTTAAGCTTCAAGGAAACTAGGATCTTAGTCTTTACAAACCTCATAATCATCAGAGCTATGATGCTCAAAATCTGGGGGGAGGGTTAACAGTAATAGCACATTTTGATTATAGCTGACTTGATTCAGGGGCTAACACTCAGAATTTGAGGACGAGTAATAAATATGAGATGTTATCTCTTTGAGGGGTGGGAGGGACCTTTAAAAGTATTATTGCTAAGAGACTACTTCCAAAAATCTACTACTACTGATAGATGATGATGCTGAGGTGATTTCCCTCAAGGATGGCCCAGAGGCATGGGAGGGTAACACTTGATGGCCAAATTTGATGATACTCAGGAGTAACATGGGAGCTGAAAGAGATCAGATGAGGGGAAGACAGGTCCTGTTCTGATGGGGGTGTGTAGTAACAGGTGTGCATGAAAATCTTGTCATAAATGGACAGCCCCAGGAAGAAAAAAATGGATACAGCAATTTTTTCTCTCTCTGGAATCACTCCAGGAGCCTTTTAAATATGGTACTGGAGAGAGCAATAGCAAAAAAAGCATTCAGAAATAGAAATGCCACACATATATCTCACACCCCATCAGCCAAGAGTCTCCAGGACAGTGGACAGTATTCAGGAGCATAGAGCTGGTTTGCAAGATCTGCAGACAGGTACCTCTTATGACCTCACAACAAGGAATGTTCACTGGCAAATCTTTGGTCTATGCTCTACACTAATGCTAAGTGAAAGAGCACATTCTCTCTACAAAGACTCATGAGTAATACCTCAATCTATTCTCCCCTGTGTGCAAGTAATGTCCCTGGACACAAACAGGAGCCAAGTGTGTGAGGATGGAAACCAGGCCTGCTGGAATTCTCACTGGCCAATTACTTTCTCCCCTGCAGGTTTGGAAAGAGATGCTGCATTTCGTCTGCTACCAAGGATCATGTCTAGAGGCTACTGCTGGGGCCTAAAAGTTGAGCAAGGTTCATACTGTTACAGTCACATGTAGCCACGATTCAACTCCCTTTATTAGAAGTATAATACTCACTTCATATCACAAATGTATAAAAATATGGCAGATAGTGTCATAACGATACTTTCTTTAAATGAATATATTTATAAAACAGATATTTACCATATATATATTTATATATAGAATAAAATACTCCTGATGCAATATATAAATGTTACTGTTTAGTTTTTATAGAAACTACTGTAGCTGTCCCACTGCTTCACAATGTTTCAAACAGCTCAAAATAACTTTACATTATAACATAAAAGATATGATTATAACAGTACAATATTAATTATAAATAAATGTTACAAATCCTATCAAATATGGAAGTTTAGAAAACAATTTAAGACATACAGTTCATCTGCTAACCCTTCAAAGGGATACTCTTGGATTACAATAAACCCCACATTTAGTCTAGGCAGAAAAAAATACGTAGTAAGGGCATTGGTCAACACGACTTTCCTATCCCTTGCAGTGCCAGGACACATCCTGGCATTCCCAAGTTCAACAGAGATTGCACTAAAGCTGGAATGTAAGGGGGAGAAACTGGCAAGAATTTCTTCTTCCTCAATGGCACACTCTATCCATTCTCACACAGACCTGTGGGGAGTGGCGATCCCTAAGGAACTCCTGTGGCTCTAAGATCCCTGACTAGCATTTATGGCCGCAAGGAGCTCGACGGCCCCACACATGCATATTGCACACACCTTCATAAAGCTGAAAACACTGGCTCACCACCCGGCCCGGCCCGGCCCGGCCCGGCCCGGCCCATACCCCAAGCCCAGCCCACCCTTCCCCACCCCTCCCCACCAGCTTGCCTGCCCACCCCTCCCCCCACCAGCACAAATTACAAGGCTGTCTCTTTTAAATCATTCAGATTTGGCATTCGTGATCGATTTGTTCTGTTATAGGGGTGCCCATTTGGCCCACTCTTGGCACCCAGCTGTTCAGAGTAGGAAGGGCCCTCTGTGGCACTCCTGGTCACAGAGGACACGTGCCAACCAGGATCCATCTGACCTGGCAGCTGGAGGGCTGGCCTGCCCTTCGGTGCTGGCTCCTGCCGGATGTTGCTGCTCCCACCAGAGGCCTGGCTCAAGGGGTGAATCCGAATTTCTGAGAAGGAATTTTTGGTTTGTTGAGCTGTTAAGGGCTGGAAGCGGGGATCTGAGGAAGCCGGGTGATTCGAGGTGGAAGAGAGATGTAACAACTTGCGCAGTGATTTTAATGGCTGGCTCTGAAAGAATGGATGAGAACACACACGGGATTCAAGTTAGAGTGACCATAAGGCTGGGAGGGAAGGGGGCTCAGATCTGAGGTGACTGGGCGTGGCCAGGAAGGGCAAGCTTGTGCGAGGAGGAGACAGTCCAGCCATATCTGTGCTTCCAGTTTTCTTCAAACAAGATTAGTCTTTAATGGAAAAGCCTAGAAATCTAGATAAGACATATAGAGCTGGTGCAGCAGCCAGCCAAAGGCCCAGGCTCATCTATCTGGTTGCATCCTATCTCTAACCAGGGATCTCATGCTTCAAACAGCAGGAAGGAGAAAGAGCAAAAGAAAGTATATGCTTCTCTGTTTTGAGAAGACTTCCCAAAGGCTCCACACAATGCTTCCACTTATAATTTCACCAGCTACAACTTAGGTACACAGCCATATCTAGCAGCAAGACAAGCTGAAAATATGGAATGTTTTAGTTAGTTAGCAACGTACTCGGCTACAAGTTGTATAGCCCTTTCTGTTCTTATCTCCCTGACTTCCCTCTCTCGATATTGCAAAATTCAAATGCTCCCTTGCTGCACTTTTTTTTTTTGAGAGGGGGAGAGTAACATTTGGGCTGTAAAAATGCAAAGCACAGAGAAATATACAAAACCCCAATATAACTATCTAAAGAATTCATTCACAGGAGGCCTTCAATTGCTAACATGGGCTTGCAGTGGTCCACCCTGCCTGCCTGTCTACTATGTAGCTGGATACCTCCAGGTGCTGCATCATGTAGGGAGACTGACATCAGGGTAGAGGGCAGGAGCCTTGCTCACTGGCCAACTCCTGAGCCTCATGCTCCTCAACATTGAAGGATGGCTCAATCTCCTCTTCCTTGATCTCAGAAGAGACATGGCAAGCACTTGGAAATTCACAGCCAATCATGACTGCTGGACTCGGCAACTTGGGCTACAACCCTAGCCTTCGGACCTCTCTGGGGCCAATCCTTACACTTTGCTGTAAATGTCAGAGTACCTTTGCTGTAAGGGACATGCATTTAAGGGCTCAGCAAAGTTTGAATAAAATGTTGACAATCTCAAGGAACATTACAAGATCTGAAGGAACTAGGCACTGAAACCCAAGGTAAATGGCTTCAGAACTGACTCAAGCTGATATTGTTTTAGGGGAAAGTATTCTCCATCTTCATTCTGAAGTCTCTCCAAGAAAGCTTTGTGCTCCCTGGAGGAAGTAGCACAGTACACTGTACACTCTAAGTGCTCAAAAGTGGCTTTTTAAAAATAATTAAATTGTGTAATACAATGAAACTCCTGGTGATTATTATATCCTTGACCACATGTAACTATCAAGCAATTACAATAATTTGCATTCAGCAAGAGAAATAAAGTTACTTGAAAATAGCTTCTAGCAAGGGCAACAAGGCAAGACCCCATCTCTACAAAAACTTAAAAAACTAGCCATGTATGGTGGTGTGTACCTGTTGTTTCAGTTACTCTGGAGGCTGATGTGGGAGAATGGCTTGAGCCCAGGAGGTCAAGGCTGCAGTGAGCCATAATCTTGCCACTGCACTCCAGCCTGAGTGATTAAGCCTGAGTGATCAAGAGCTTCTTGGCAAAAGAAATGGTTTCACAAAGAAAGTTCTAAACCTCTCTATTCTTTTTGTTTTGAAATTGGGAACAAAGAAACAAAGGCTTGTCTCCGTAGTTTGGATAATATATCCAATAAACTTGGATATCTGGTTCTCTATGCTTCCACCACCCCTAGCTTATATTATGTTAGAAGCAGAATATATGAATGGTTGGGGCAAATAGAGTGGGAATATGGGGGGCTTCTGTGAGCAGTTCTATGCAACAGCTTACAGTTACAAAAGAGTAAACAGATGTTGGGCATGGTGGCTCATGCCTGTAATCCCAGCACTTTGGGAGGCAGAGGCAGGTGGATCACTTGAGCCCAGGAGTTGGAGACAGCCTGGGCAACATGGCAAAACCCAGTCTCTACTAAAAATTCAAAAAATTAGCCAGGTGTGGTGGGTCACATCTGTAGTCCCAGCTACTTGGGATGCTGAGGTGGGAGGACTGCCTAAGCACAGGGAGGTCAACGATGCAGTGAACTGAGTTTATGCCATTGCATTCCAGCCGGGGCAATGGGAGTGAGATCTATCTCACAACAAGAAAAGTAGTCCCCTCCTCCAATCACAGAAATTTGCGACACAAGAAATCATAGACATAAGTAATCCTATAGCTTCAAAAGCTTTGGAGGATTGTCAGAAATTATAGTGCAGGAGAATAAAGGATTTATAAAATACCCAATATCAAAAACCAAAATGCTCATTATGGGATACTGAAAAGATAAAATATTACAAAATTCCCAACCAAAATAGTTGTTTAAAGGAGATAAACCTCAGATACCTGAAAAATTTACTGATTCAGTTTCTGCTTATTCTTCCATTATGGAAGATAAATGTGACTACATAGTACAGTTTAATATGTAGTTCCTGTTTGCCTGTTTCCTGTCAAAAATAGTATAGACTGCAGGAGTTACAATATTCTTTCAAGAAAACTTATCATAGCTGTCTTTGAATTTGTACGCTACTACTTTTAATGAAACCTTAATCTTCCCACCATCTCTGCTCATCCTGCCTGAAATGTTATGGCATGCTTCACTTTTTACCATGAATTATGGTTCTTTAACACAGTTCGTCTCTTTCCTGGGCTGTATTTGTGGACTGGGACTACATCTTCAATTGCCTCCAGCTAGGTGAAGGCTAAAGGGAGCTTGCATTTTTCCCAGTACAACATAGGTCATTGAAGCAAGATTCTTTCTGGCTCAGAAGATGCATCTGGCTATAACTGAGGGTCTATTTTGAGGAGGCACTCAGCCTTACTATAACATCGAGAGGCTAAGTTTTCTCTACTATACCCTCCCAACTCCTCAGGACAGTTATTGCAGAGTTGGAGAGTCTAGGAATAGTGCAGGATCCACTTACTTGGGTCTGTAGATCTGAGATTTTCTCAGGGCGCCACTCCTTTGGTCTGCTGCTTGGAGTGCTAGTAGAATGAATGGATTTCTGCAACGTTAGAAGATCAGGGCTGTCGGAATTGGGTACCTAGAGCAAAATATGGACAAGCATTCAATAAGCCCACTAACAAGCCTAATTAAGATATGCAACCACACCCAAGAGAAGAACCAAACTAAAAAGCAAACCAAACCAAAACTCAAATAACCCAGTAAAAAAAGAACCCCAATCTCTCCCAATGTTCACAATGCAAGTGATGCTAGTTAAATTCTTCTGCCCTCTTAATAATTTTCCCTGCATTAGGAAAAATTGGCAGATGTCATGCAGTTTTGTTAAACCTCAACCCTTAAAGCATTCCCATGCTGTTAGTTTTAGTCGCTGTAAGAGAGAGCAGTTAAATTGGGTTGTACCAGGAATTGCTGTCGTATCCTCATTCCATATTGCAGTTAGGTTATGAACCAGTTCAATAAAATAGAATTTTTTCCTGCTGGGAAAATGATCCAAACAATGTACTTGCTAGTGCCAAAGAAGTCTGGTAGGCTTTCAAGGATAGCAAAGTGAGAAAGTATGGTTTAGATCATATTCCCAAACCATTGTCTGATAAATCTGGATCTAGCATTATGTACTAAGAAAATACCGGAAATCTGTGCCACCAGTTCCAGATGAATGCAATTGGTCTATTCACCAGTTTTGGTGAACACAGAAGAGTAATGTCAAATGTCAAGCAAAAGCCCTGGTTTTAAACTAAGTCACCAGCAAAAGCTCAAGTCAGAAACAAGCTATTTTTTCATGGAGCCTGTTACCTCATTCAATTTGGTCAATTCAACTTGGCTTCAAAAAGACAAATTGCCAATCAAGTGTTAACAAACTCTGTGAGTCAGATGCAAAGACATTTGTTAACTATAAATTTAATAGAATTCCTTACATAAAATGCAGGCTTTTATAAATGTTATCTGCCAATAACTGGCTAATCACACAAGACCAACTAGCCTTTCACAAGTTTGTTTGTTTCACAGAATTTGTGCTTCAACTTCCGAACTGATTCAGAAGAATGGCAACAAATTTATATCCCAGTGAATTTATGGAACTGGCTCACGTACTTAACTAGCATAAAGAGAATATGACCTCATGAAAATAAGACATGCTGTTGTCATCAGTAAAACAAGTTTACTGGAGCAGTTTTCAGGGCTACCATATATAAAAACGGGTACCATGGGTGGAGTGACTACAGGAAGCTTTTTCAAAGAAGAACTATGCTTTAAATGATTCTTTGAATTAAAAAGAGGAAAGAGGGATTTCTTGATGCTTGGGTTCTCCCCGTTGGTGGAATCTGTCTGCAATATAAGATACAAATAAACTAATTGCAAAAAAAAGTGCTTTTATTGAAACTACTAGCCCTTGGAAGCCCTCAAATTGCTAAATATTAACAGTCCTTGACAGAATCTCTGTGCTGTGCATTTATAGAGGTTCTGTGTCAGTTCTCATCTGAACGTGAAGATGTCAATAATGCAAATTCAAGACAAGCACAAACTTCTTCTAAGTATATAATGTGAGATCATGATCAATACCTCTAGTAGGAATGCTGAGAGACCTAGACACATCTACTCACATCAAGCTTATCAAACATTAAATAATTTTAATTATCAGAAATATGACTATAAAGAATTGTGCTAAAGAGCTACTGATACACTTCAATCTTCTCCTAATTGCTAGAGAGGACTTCAGCAAGTAAAAATTCTACTATGTAATTTGCCTATTAGGAGAAAAAATACCCCAACATACTGGAAACCCTTTTGAATTTGGTCAACTTTTAAGCCAGAAAACATCGCTAGGAAGAGGTATTGATCACTGTGGTGGGATACTAATGTTGAGTAAGAGGCCTTGTTCTATACTGCTAGAAATATTTACCCAACGGAAAACATCTAGCATAATTCAGAATACTGGTTTTCAAAGGGAAGAAACATAAATTTCAATATTTAAATGGAAGCATCATTACAAGTTGAGATACTAACTAACTGGGATACAATTACCAAGTTGGCAAAGTCACCATATGCTCTGAGGGCTTATGTAACTCTGGATATGTAACTGAAGCCAGATTTCCCAAGGCAGCTTCCAGATTTACTTGAGTCGAAACAGGGACCTTTACAATACAGAATTATTTTTTTGGCACGACTTTTCTCTGTTTTGGGTATCTCAATTGTCAGAGAACCAGAATATATGTGAAGGTCTTCAGGTATTCAGGTCATCTTTTAAGGGTGTATATAAAAAGAGATTCGAGTAAAACATTCCATTAATTTTCCTGTTCCAATGACAAGGAACCCTGAGGAAGAGTTTAACTTGCATTGCTAAAGAGGCCAGAGAAGAGCTCCTAGAGGCTCTCTAGAGAGGCGGATCCATGGTAATAAACTGAGCCTGGACTTGGTATTTAGGAGAGCCCAGTCCTAGTTCTCCCAAGTGATTATGTGATTTTGGGCTTCTAAGCAAGCTCAAGACTTGCTTGGGCTCAGTTCCTATACTAGCAAATAAAAACATTCAACTAGATTTAGGATCCACCTCAGCTTAAACATGTCACGAGTCTCTATGTACACCGGGCATCAGATTTTTATTCTTTTGGAATCTTATGCAAAGGCCACAATGCCTTAAATCTTTTGAAGCTTATTCTATTTAGTTTCTTTTTGCTGAGTTCTAGAAGGTAAAAAATAATTAACTATTTACCTGCTCATTCAAAGAAGGCAGAGTTAACTCAATGTCAGGCTTAGGAGTCTGAGGTTTGGAAGGCTGTACTGAATGCTCTTTGGAAATCCCAAAGCCCTTAAATTTTATTTTTCATTTAATTAAAAGATGCAGAGGTACAAACAACTTTTGGTTGGTTAGGCTTAAGGCATTACAGCCTATGCAGATACATTCTGCAGTCACTTTATATATCAAAAAAGAAACTTATGAAAACCTAATAAAAAGTTTAAGTGGAGAGGATGTTAGAGAATATTTTCCTTTTTACTTCTAATCTATACTACTAAAATGCCTAAAATTTAACAAAATTCTGAATAATAAAGTCAACATGTATACTCTACTTGTGCCACAGTGAGCCAGGGACTTTAGGTTTAATGTTGCTCGACAGAAGACATCAAAATCTAAACCTATATACGAAAACACCTTCAATTCCTTCATCTTTCCTACTTCCTACCATTTAATCACCCCACCATGGCTGGAGACCTGTGGTTTAGAACAAAAACCACAAAATAAAAATACCAGTGGTCAGGAGGTAGCCAAAGTTTACTGCTCATGATAGAGAAACATGTTCTACAGACAATGATAAGGGTTTATTAACACTTTCAATATTTTAAGTATTCCTAGGTTAAATCAGGTCTAATTGTTCACCCAGTCTAAGTAAGAAACGTAGTAGAATCTGAGTGGCATTTTGACTTGACACTTTAAAAGTAAGCTTCAGTTAAAAATATAGAAAGTTTTTTAAAATGAATACTTCAGAAACTTTATGCAGCCATTAGGATTTAAGATAATAAAGTTTTGTGCATGTAGATAAACTGTTAAAAGCCAGAATACAAAATCCCAAAAAAGGATTACTATAATTTAAAACTTAAAAACAAACAAAAACCAAACAAAACCCCACACCTCCTTTCCACAAACATACACATAGGCTAAACAGCTAAGGGAAAATATACCAAAATCCTAATACTAGTTGTGACAGGGTATTAAGATTTAAAACGCTCTTTTTCTTTTTCTCAAATTTTCTATAATGAACTCATTTATTTTATAATGAAATACATAAATTTAACGAGCAAGCAAGAGAAAGAATAATCTAGAAAGATAATCTAGGAAGGTATTTGTTAACATTTCTACAACATCTGTGAGATAAAAATGCTTACTTCAGGTTATTTATACACATTGCTGTGAACATCTATCTAATCTACTTCCCATTGAGTCATAATCCTATAATGTTCATAAAAGAAAGGGCCTCAGAAACATTGTCTAGTCTACTAAACTTACAGATGAAATCCATCTGAACAGGCCATTTTGATTACGTCTTTTTCCTCTTCAAATAAAAGAGAATAAATTATGTATGAAGTAAAACTAAAACCAAACCACTTAAAATGGCTAACTAGGCCAGTCACAGTGGCTCACGCTTGTAGTCCTAGCACTTTGGGAGGCCTAAGTGGGCCGATTGCTTGAGTTCAGGAGTTCGAGACCAGCCTGGGCAACATGGTGAAACCCTGTCTCTTCAAGAAATATGAAAAAATTAGCTGAGTGTGGTGGCGTGCGCCCAGTTATTTGAGAGGCTGAGGTGGGAGATCACTTCAGCCCAGGAGGTGGGGGTTGCAGGGAGCCAAGATCATGCCACTGCACTCCAGCCTGGGCAACAGAGTGAGACCTTGTCTCTAAAATAAATAAATAAATAAAAACGGCTAACTCCATCTTGTTTAGTCTTGAAGTTGTCATAAAGCAAAGGGGGATGCAGCCTCATCAAGGGGAAGAACTGCTTCTGCTGCTGTCCTAGAGGCCGGGTTTCCCCAAGGTTCTCACGTCACTAACCAGCAAGATATTTGCTTGGGTGGTTCAGTGAAGTGGTGTGAACTGTCCTATGGAGCCAGCCCTTTGTTCAGGCAGAGAGCTCCCAGGAGATAAGATGCATTCCATCCCACAGCATGATCAAAAGGCAAACATGTTTTCCTTCTAAAGCAAGCCCTAAAATCCCAGATACGATCTTTGTGACTATACAACTCAGAAACACAACTGTCAACGTGGGAATTCTATAACCAGCCAGGGGAGAATAAGGAATGATGGTTATTTATGAATTTCAAGATTTAAAAGTAAACCGAAACCCATTTCCTAAGTTTTCACATATCTTTAAACCCCCAGAGAGAAACAAATCCTGTGTCTTCAAAGTTTTTACATGAATATAAACCCACATAGGTAAGAAGTATATTGAGAAAGGCTTAAAGTGTTTTCTCTCATTCAAATTAAATTTCTTCTATTCCTGGAGATTCCGCTGAATGTAGAAAAGGCTCTGTTGAGAGGATAGTTGTATAGAATTTCAGAAAGAGACATAATACACAGTGCATAAATGTCAAGTCTCAATAAGAAAACGATCAGCTTTGATTGCCAAGTGCAAAGTGTAAAGTATCCATTGAATAATACAGAAACATATGTCATTATATACAGAAATTGGCCATCTACTTACTGTTTGAGATTTCTTCTTTTTCTTTTTCATTGACCTGAAAAATCCTTGCTTCTCTTTTTCCTTGAGTTGCTCTGAATGACTAATATTTTCAGGACTTTTCCTAAATGAGAAGAGATTTTTATCATATTGATTTTTCAATCATTTTCTTGCCACTGTGTGACAAATATAATAAAGACTGAAAATGCATGACACTAAGTTCAAATAGCCAGAAAGAATCAAAAACTTGGGTAAAAAGCCTCTAAAAAAGCACAGGACCAACTGAATCTAATCAACCATGGTTAGTGATCATCCTCTGGCACAGGCTCACTCAAAACAGCAATTTGAGCATTATTACAAATGACCTGTAACTGTTGCTGCAAGACCCTTTTCATGATGTTGAAGACCTCAGAATCTGAGATTATGAAAAGTACACAGCTTAAACGATGGCTTCTCTGTAATTCTCCAAGGGAAAGAGCAGAGACATTTTCAACACCTACCTTCATTTTTCTATTTATGTTTTAAAAACCAGCTTGATAAGTTTATTATTAGCGACTTGTCAAGATACTGAACGTAAAGATCAATACTGCTATAAAAACATCTTGAATAAAAGTAAAAAACTGCCAGCAACTGAAAATATCCTAATTATTAAACCTTTTATCTATTTATTAAAACTAAATAAAAACAGTTAAGAAAAAAATGTAGGGACAGGTGCAGTGGCTCATGCCAGTAATCCTAGAACTTTGGGAGGCTGAGGTGGGATGGCTTGAGGTCAGGAGTTTTAGACCAGTCTGGGCCACACAGCAAGACCTTGTTTCTTTAAAAAAAAAAAAAAAAAAAAAAAAGTAGACAGGACAAATGCTTTAATATAAAGCTTTCATGGAGCGGGGGGAAGCTCCTAACTAAAAATACTGACATTAAGCTTGGTACCACTCACATCACCAGGTATTTTAATAAAATCAGAAGATATTAAAATAATAAAATAGAACTCAGAATGATATATTTATAATTTTGAAATCTAGAAAACTTCAGACATGATGAAATGGGTAAGAATGTTAAAAAGTTAAAAGAGTCTATATATTTACTTATTTATTTTTGAGACAGTATCTTGATCTGTTGCCCAGGCTGGAGAGGTACAATTTCAGTTCACTGCAATCTCTGCCTACTGGGTTCAAGCATGTCTCCTGCCTCAGCCTCTCACAGGTATGTACCACCAGGCCTGGCGAATTTTTTTATTTTCAGTAGAGACGGGGTTTCACTATGTTGCCCAGGCTGGTCTCGAATTCCTGACCTCAAGTGATCCATCCACCTCTGTCTCCCAAAGTGCTGGGATTACAGGTGTAAGCCACCACACCCAGCCAGAAGAGTCTTTAAATATAGTGTTGTACTGTTGGGAAAAACATTCTAATCCCAGTGACAGACTGGGCCTAGGTCCTGAGAATTTGGTAAAAGTTTCTTTGCAATCAAGGAGATGAAACCCTCTTACATGGGGCTTACAGATAGACTGCCCTAAGCTAAACTCCAAGACACAGCATTCAGTCACTTGACATTGGTAAGGAACACTGCAGAAGAGTGGGGTTTGCTGGAATCACAAAAGCATGACTTTGGATGGAAAGGAGCCTCAGAGAGCATCTAGTGGAACTGGCAATACTATTTTTAACGTTCTGTAACTTCTAGAGGTTAAAGAATTACATGCTTATGAAATAGCTATGTCCTTCCACAATAGTATCTGCAAATACATAACCTAGAAGCACAATAGAATACTCAGATTAATGGGTAGAAGTTTTTACCAATCAGAATGAAAGTGTAACAAAATACCACAGGTGTGCTGAGGGTAAAAGTGCTATCTGCCAATCCAGCAAATCTTTAAGGAAGGCATATTCATCATGACTGCGATCTCAGAATGTGAATGGGCATTAATGGAATAATGTCAATGCTGGTACAAGAGGAAATGAAGGCTTGAGACACCAGTCCTAGGAGGAAGTAGGATTTTGCATGGTAAGAGGAGAATCTATCTAGGATGAAACAGAGAATAAGATGAAAGTGAGAAGGGGAGGATAATAAAAGGAAAGCTCAATGTTTACAGTTTGCATGTTGCACTGTTGGGTGCCAAAGACACGAGGAAGATGGGCCAAAGACCCTCTGCAGGGGCTCTTCAAGAGGCACTGGATAAACCAGAGCCCAGATGGGGATAGAGGAATGATCAGGATATTTTCAAACTGAGGCTGAGCCAAGATGGTAAGGCTAAGATCCTGGCACAGAAAGATCCCAGAGGCCAAAAGAAAAAAGAAATAAATTACCCTTTAACTAGTGGATGAAAACTAGGAGTGAAGAGTTTGTATCACCAAAGACAGAGAGAAGGAAGTCAGAGAGAAAAAACAAAATAAGTGAGAAGCTATGCAGAAACATACATACCCAATTAGTTAACAGAGAAAGGAAATGGAGAAAAGGCTGAGAGAGATTCAGAGACAGATGGAAAGAGGCTGGATGGAACAAAGGTACTTGAAAAGCTGTGTTGTATAAAGTAATGGAGAATGAGTTATACATTGACAGCTAGAACTGAGTCATATGGGTAAGCACGTATTTGGTCATTTCCCTCATCTGTCCATTCTGGCCCCTGTGATTCCACCTGGAAAACAGCAGCTTCGCGCTGAGTGGGGTAAAGAGGAGCAGTGGAGAAGAAGGGTAAGTTCTTTCTTATGAATTCTTCTTTCTCATCAATCTCAGAGAAAGAAGCTTTGATTAGGAATACTCATCCAGTCATCTGGCATATTCTCCAGGGCAGCAGTTGGGACCAAAACAGTATGGGAGGAGGGCAATGAGACAAGGGGTAAGCAGGCACACAGGCACGGGACTCTAATGTTATCTAACATGACAGCTATTTCCATAAGGGGCCAAGAGGAGACACAATTCTAAAGACTCACCTAAAGAAAGGAAGGAATTAAAATTCAATGAATCAGTCAACCAACATTCAGTGAGTACTTTATACATGTCAGGCCCTGTGTTAGGTGTCAAAGAAACAGAGAAAAATAAAAGAACGAATCTGACCTCAGTCAAGCTGCTCACAGACTCTTGTGGGGGGAGGAGAACAGATTTGACAGCTAGGGGAAGGTGAGCGGGGGAACATCACAGTTGGTCAGGCTTATGGGACCTTTATCATAATCCCTCTGAGAGCAGCATGGAAGGTGAGCTGAAGAAGTGAAAAGTACCCCTCTGTGACCCTTTCCTTGCCAACTCCCCTCCCCTGGCAATGTGATGAGCATGGTTAGCTAATAAGTGAAAAGAGAGAGTCAGTGAATAATTCTATAAGAGTAATTCTGCACGCTATGATGACAAGCACTAATGGATACCAATACATTCATAACCTCATGAGAAAAAGAAGGCTGGAATTGTACAAGTTACAGCAATTCTTCATTTAACAAGTGGGATTTCTTTCTTTTTTTGAGATGGAGTTTCGCTCTTGTTGCCCAAGCTGGAGTGCAATAGTGTGATCTCAGCTCACCTCAACCTCCACCTCCTGGGTTCAGGTGATTTCCTGCCTCAGCCTCCCGAGTAGCTGGGATTACAGGCATGTGCCACTATGCCAGGCTAATTTTGTATTTTAAGTAGAGATGGGGTTTCTCTATGTTGGTCAGGCTGGTCTCGAACTTCCACCTCAGGTGATCCGCCCGCCTCAGCCTCCCAAAGTGCTGGGATTAAAGGTGTGAGCCACTGCACCCGGCCTATTTCTTGATTCTTAAGTGGGTTCTACATAATTGAGATGGCCAGGACAACAGCTCTGGATATCATACTGCAATATTTATTTATTGCTTTAAAATATAACACAGTAGCTTGACTTTTCCATTGTAAGGAAGGGGGATACTGTACAAATATTCTCTTCCCGAAGTAAATCTTAAGTACTACTATTAAGGAAAAACAGACTGAACTTAGGTAAGAGATAATTTAGGAATAGCAATTCATGGTCAGGCACAGTGGCTCATGCCTGTAAATCTCAGGACTTTGGAAGGCCAAGGCAGGCAGATCGATTTAGCTCAGGAGTTGGAGTCCAGCCTGGAGAGCATAGCTAGACTCCATGTTTACAAAAAATACAAAAATTAGCCAGGCATGGTAGTGTGCACCCACAGTCTGAGCTACTCAGGAGGCTGAGGTGGGAGGACGGCTTGAGCCCAGGAAGTAGAGGTTGTAGTGGGCCCAGATTGAACCACTGCACTCCAGCCTGGGAAACAAAGCCAGACCCTATCTCTACCCCCTTGCAACAAAGAATAGCAATTCACTATATTACCAAAACAAGGTTCCTTTATGTTTTTTGTAAGTTACCAAATATGCATTTCTCTCAAATATGACGAACCTGATAAACCAATTCAAGAGCTTGTTCAAGAAAATAATCAAGATGAGTCAAAATAATCAAGACTAAGTGAGATGCGATGCAGGAAGGAAATGTCATAGCAGTATGATCATGAGGAGTAACAAACAAAAGAACAGAGCCAGTTCATCGCTGGCAATTCTGGAACTCTCAAGTCTTACAACAGCAATACTAGAGTAGGGATGACCTGATGAAGACTCAACTAAAATTCAATATCCCAATTGAGCCTCTCATTCTTTTTTAAAACAACTCTTTTGAGGTTTCTATACATATCCACGCATAAAACAAGACAAACTGATTATCAAAAGACAGAAATAATACATTACTAACACTGTCTATCCACATTTGGATTTAATTTTGATCTCACCTACCTAATTTTCACAGGACTAAGATAATCTGTAATTGATATTCCTTTAAATAATCATCATTTCATTATATAATAACCAAGAGAACCAATTCCTTCTATATTTCTGCATTCTTGTCATTTAGACAATTTTGTCATGACTTGTCAAAGCCACACCAGAAAATGGTCAACCCTGGCAAGTAAAGAAGTTGTACCTGTATTCTTGCGTGAATTCATAATAGAGCTTAAACATGGAGAAAGAACACCAAAGTTTATCATCGACGGGGAGGGGGAACACCTGATGCTGAAGTTAGCTGCCATAACAATAGTAACTGCAGTCACTAACATTAACAAACACTTACGAGCCAGGCACTGTTCTAGGTGCTTTTAATGTATTTGCCTCATTTAATTATCACATGAACCCTATGAGGGAGGTGCCATTCTTAGCCCTATTTTTTTAGACATGAGGAAACCAAGGGACAGAGAGACACAGTGCCCTGACTGATAGACAAGTTGCCATCAATCAAGATATCCTATTTCCAGAGTCTAAATTCTTAGTCACAAATGTTAAGACTGTCCTTTTATAAATAGGCAATGGATGCAAATTGTGCTTACGCACAAAAGTGTTATTTACAGCTTTTAAAAAGTCATTTTTATTATTGTTAAGAATAATTAAGTAATTTTCACTATAGGGCACAACACCACCGAAACCTTGATGTAACTCTGTCAATAGGGTCCAAATTGTGACATCACACGGAGTCAGGAGTACTGACATAAGGCCCTTCTGTTACTTCTGGCAACAAACACCAGAGAGGGACTCTGACAGACTGGTCTTATTCCAAATTCAGTGTATTACAGTGATGTCCCATTTTATGATCTTGGTAGAGAATTTAGTAAAGTTCTGCGAAGTACACGTAAATACTCTTCATATACAGATCTTGGGCAGTCTTTCAGGATAGTTGAGAAGAAGTAGTCTACATTATTACTTTTTTTAAAGTTCTTACTCCCCAGACAGATTTGCTAATGGAACTTAGTAACACTGTATTTCTTTCCCTAAATATTATTAGATATGACACAAGAAACATAAATGAGGAAGAAAAGTTGCCACATCATTTGTGCCTTTCACTACGATTATGCTTTTATGGTAGCATAAAGGACTGTTTCCCTATTTCTTTTTACCCTGAATGACTTGGAGTCCATTTAAGTTTGAATCCTGGCTCCCTCCTCCGTGTTACTGGCTGTCCAGCACCGGGCCAGTTCCTCGACTTTTCCAAGCTCTGGTGTCCTCATCTCTAGCACGGGAGCACAGCGTGACTGTGAGAACTGACTGAGACAATGCACATCATCAAGTGCTAAGCAAAGTGTACCAGGTTCAATGTCAACAAAGGAGACTGCAAAAGTCATCATTCACATCAGAAGAACACAATGGAAAGCGTATCAGGTATTTAATAATCCAAGAGATTTTTTTGTCTCTTACATAATATTTAATATAAATGCCAAACTGGAAAAAAGTTACCAATAATGAAAAATCACATTTTCCTTATTCAATAATTTATCTAGAGAAAAAAGGCCTAGCAGGAGAAAGAACACTAAAAAGTTCATCCAGAATTTATTTGAACTCTCAAATCTACAATTAGAAAAAGGAAGAGTAAAAACAAACAAAATGCTCACCATGGATCGAATGCTGGTTGTCTTTTTGAGTGGTTGGTTCCAGAAGTGCTCTCTGATGGTAGGGAAGAAACTCTGGTGGACACATTATTTTCGTGGAAAGAATTGTCTGGACGTGGAGATGGCACTGAATAAAGAAAAAGTAAGTCACTGATGGACTTTTTTTTTTTTTTTGGAGACAGGGTCTTGTTCTGTCACCCAGGCTGGAATGCAGTGGTGTGATCTCAGCTCAGCGCAGCCTTGACCTCCCAGGCTCAAGCAATCCTCCTGCCTGAGCCTCCCAAAGTGATGGGATTACAGACATGAACCACCACACATGGCTGATGTACTCTTTTGGTCAAAGCAGTTTTCACATTATCCTACTGCATTTTCTCTAACACAAATAAAACAACAAACAAACAAAAATCCTCATCTACGCTTCACATAACTTTTGTGTTTTCTGAGGGTGAAGGCATTCCAGGGAACCTTCTCCCTCAACCACTGCTTATGACACTAACTTGCAAGGGGTTAGCTGACACCAGGTAATATGTACTAAAAACAGAAACCTGATCTGCCAGATGATAAAGTGAAGAACATTATAGGATATGTTCTTTCTCTCCTCTGTCTCTCTCTCTCTTTTTTAATAAGAGACTGTTACCCACGCTGGAGTGCAGTGGCACGATCATGGTTCACTGCAAACTCCACCTCCCAGGCTCAGGTGATCCTCCCACCTTAGCCTCCTGGGTAGCTGGGACTACAGGTACACACCACCACATTCAGCTAATTTTTTGTAGAGACAACGTTTCACCATATTGCCCAGGCTGGTCTCAAACTCTTGAGCTCAAGCAATCTGCTCACCTCGGCCTCCCAAAGCGCTGGGATTTACAGACATGAACCACTGCACCCGGCCAGGATATTTTCAAGTATGAATCTCATAGCCCCTACCACCATCCCCTGCACTGTTCTGGCATTCTTTGAAGTTAAAGCTTTCTTATTATAGATCAACAATGTAAAATCTATTCTTAGTTTGAAGTAATTCACATGTATGCTGAAACAGACAAACTACAGTTTAAGCCTTGACACTTGGGAGGTAGTATCACTCATGTTTTTAAACTAAATTACACAGAAATTTATCTAGTTCTACAAAAATATTATTTTTCTCTAAATTCTAAATGAACAGAAAGATAAAATACAATGTATGTGAGTAAATACTTTTCTGCTTTTGGGGGCAATAGTTATTAACTTTTTCTGTCAATTTCTAAGAATGGTTATAATAAAAATATACTGTAAATTTCACCACAAAAGGAATATAGACTGCATACCAAGATAAATGACACCATTTCACTTATCTTTTGACCAGTAGAATGAAAACAGGAAGCATTCTGGAAACATCTGTCGTTTCAATGATACCACTAAATCTTCCTCTAGAACTTAGTAGTATCATTGAAATGACAGGTGTCTCCAGATGCTTCATCTAGTTAAATATTTTCCTTCTATATCTGAAATTTTTAAAATTAAAAATTCCACCTGCCAAGCTCTCACCACCCTCTCTACTGAGGTAGACATATGAAGTATTTCTCTGAATTAACCCATTTATTTTTTTTGCATCAAAATAAAACCGCATTTCCAGAAGTAAAAGACTAATTAATTTAAATCTCCATTAGCACTTTATGTTAATTATTCTCCACCCATCTATAGAAGTAACATGCCTATAGTACATTTTAGAGGTAATGTTTTCGGTGATAGAAGAAAACGCTTTTGCACGTGTATGCTATGATATTTTAATTAACTTAAATCTGAATTAAAAGTTTAGTCCCATAAAATTCTAAAGTGTAATCATGGTATCAGAAAAAAATGCATTAAAAGCCATATTCAATCAATGCCTTATGCTTTTCCAAAGGTGGGGCTGGAAGGAAAGGAACAGAGTAGCCTAATCATTAAATATACATTTAGTTCTAAACAATACTTCTATGCATTTATTTAGCTATATTTCCTGATTAAAATGACTAAGCAGTTCTCCATGCCCCAGCCCCAAATCCTGGCCCTTTCCAACTGTCCTCCTAAAACAACAGAAATAGTGGGAAGTTAGGCAACATGGACTTAGGAGGCCTTAGAAAGCTGTGGTGACTCTTGAAGGCTTTGTAGGCCTCCTGACCCCAGGCCTTTCTCATGGCCCTGTGGGCTTGCTGTCCATTTTCTCCGCCAGGGTGCTGGAATGCCAAAGGGCTTTACAATCTATTATTGCAGAGTTACTAAAAGGGGTTTGTCTTTCAATGTCTCCTAAGTTCATACAACCCCAAAAGCAACTGTTTTAGTTGTCTGTTAAATAGCAAAGTACATTTCAGGCTGTGCAAGTATACTTGACATTTTTCTTTATTTCGACAAATATTTATGAAACTATGCCAGGCAATGTACTAGTCAATAATAATAAAAAGAAGAGAAGATGAAGAGAACTGAGTGTGTCTGAGGGGCTCATAACCTCATGAGAGAGAACTGCAGACAAAGAATCAGTGCAACGTGGTCAGTGTTCCATCAGAGTTACAGACAAGGTACCACAGACAAAACAGAGAAGAAAATGTTTCACTCCATCTGGAACAAACTGTGGGAAGACATTATACTGAAAAGGATCTTAAAGAAAGGGACAGAAACAAACTGTTCCAGCAGGAGGAAGAGCACATTGCAGACCCATAGACTGGGCATCAGAGAGACCTGGAGGGTGGGGGAGAAAGTGGCTGGAGAGGATAGTAAGGGCCAGACCATGGGAAGTCTGGAAGGACATCCTAGAGAATTCAGAGTTTGTCCTGATGCCAATGGGAAGCCAGCAAAGGACTCTCAACAGGTGAGCAATAGGGGATTAGGGAATGGGTAGGGTGGGGTGGGCAATGGGATGCCTTACTCTATTTTTTCCCCCTTGTAACACTTAGTATCTTTTACTGCTCTATATAATTATTATGTTTACTGTTTATCGCTCCTCCCGAGGATGTGAGTTCTGTGATGGTGGAGATCTTTGGCTGTCTTGTTCACTGACAAGTTCTAAGCCAGAACAGTGCCAGACACACAGGTAACATCAATAAGTATGCTATAGGTTGATAGAACGAAATGAGTGGTATGGTCAGAACACAGCTTCGGAAGGATCACTCCAGTCACTATATTGATGGGTACCTTGGAGATAGGGAGACCAGTTAAGAGGCTACTCAAGGAGGCCAACTCAGAAGCCAAGAGGGCCTGACTTGGCTGGAGCAGAGGCAGGGAGAAATGCTAGAAGGCAACGGTGTAGGTGAGAAGGCTGCTGGCCTGAAGTCAGTGAAAGCAGTATGTACATAAAGCAAGAGAGGGAGGAGAGGGGAACCTGGTGAATGCTGGGGGTGGGCTTACCTCTGTAAAAGCTACCGACTCTCCTTGGCATGGGATCATTATACAGATGTCTATTTTCTTTGGGGGCTGTGCCATCATCAGAGTGTGGGTCATGATATACTCCACCCTGAGACAGGAAAGAAATTAATAAAAGTTAAGCCACACATTGATGACAACATTGCCTATGCCTTTTTTCTTGAGACAAGGTCTCACTCTGTTGCCCAGGCTGTAGTGCAGTAGTGCAATCATGGCTTACTCTACTCTTGACTGCCCCAGTTCAAATAATCCTCCTGCCTCAGTCCTGAGTAGCTGGGACTATAGGTGCACACCGCTACACACAGCTAATTTTTAAAACTTTTTGTAGAGATGGGGTCTTGCTATGTTGCCCAGGCTGGCCTTGAACTCCTGGATCCAAGCAATCCTCCCACCTCAGCTTCCCAAAGTGCTGGGATTACATGTGTGAGCCACCCGGCCCAAATTTAGAACAGTGCCTAATCAATCTAGAATTGTGTAAAACTCAGAATTATGCCACAAGGAAAACTACTTACTTTTTAAGCCACTTCAACTTACTTGTGGGAGAGTGGATATTAATATATTTTAAAAGCTAGGCAGTTAATGATGTTGAACAAATAATGTTTACAGGCATATTTTATTGTGACATACCTCAGACTTCTGGCGTGTATGGAAGGAAGAGGTGCCTTCTCTGGAGGTCTCTTTGACTGATGATCTTGCTACAGTCATCTCTGGAGGGAGCTGTTCTCCAGGCTGGAAGTAAAATTTAAAAGGATTTATAAAAGTGTCCTGTTCCTAGGGATGAAACTCATCACGGCCATTATTTGGTATGACTAGAACCATAACCAGCTAAAATAAAAAATGTTAGCTGGCTAAAATACAAATATAGTCCCATAAGAATGAATAATCTGATGAATGTAATATAAGGCAAATTTCGCACAGATGGAAAGTAAAATTCTCATTAAAGTTAAGGCAAGCAGGGAAAAAATTAGTCTGAAAATAGTTCAATTAATTACTAAAAACAAAAAAAAATTACCCTTCTAATATCTAGATAGTCATGGTTCTGAGCAGCCCTCTGATTAGGGATTCTTTTAGTTTATCTGAAATTTCTCTAGCAGATTTTAAGTCTGAGTTCTCCAAAATGAACTGTGCAGTTCCAAAACTATTTTTCATGCAGGACTTATAAGGCAAAGTCAGATGAAAACAAGTGATTTTGAATATATCAAGGAATAGAATAAGTCCTTTTAATAATTTTTGTGTTAAAATCCTCTAACTACTATAGTTTATGTGCTTAAACTCTTGTCTTAATCTCCTCTAGGATAACAGCACTTAGTTTTCACGCATTTTCTGAAGCCAAATCATGACAGTGCTCATCTCCAAAGACATACCACTACCTACCTCTCTTAAAGGAGTGAGTCACAAGCTAAGAACACTACTCAGTCCACAATGGTGTTCACTGAGGGGGGAAAAAATGTGCATTTTCCATCATCAGAAAAAAAGATTGGGAAGAAATTACCAAGTCATTAGGAGTTAGCTGCATTGCATCTGCATATTATGCACAGAAAAGGGCATTACCTTAAGCCTATGTGATATATCAAAAAACATTTTATTTAAGATTTAAAATACGATTATTTTCTCTCCTTCTCATTCCCCAAATGCACTCTGAGGATTCTGGGCAGGAATTCAACCAACATAGCTCTCCTTCTATTTTATGAAAATGTCTCATTTGACTTTTACCACCTGTATTGTTTACAAAGGCCTCTACAAAAAGTATTTTAAGAAAACAAATTATTAACATCTAATATGAACTCAGTAAGAGTCTCTATGCTTTTGAAGGTGGTCCGATTCTTTGCATAGGAGTGATTCCTATGATTCACTCACAACTTAAGTTACTTTTCCAGCCTTTCTAGTACCTTTGTGCTTTTAAACTGGTATTTTCTTGTAGCTGGTCACTGTACCTCCTGAACTAGCCTTCACAGTCAGGAACAGATCTGTGCTTAGCCCACAGTAACTGTTTATAATTCGCATATGATCACCATGTTCACAAAAATCCTTTTCCTGGAATTCTCAGGGAGCAATTACTTTTTCTAAGTTAAAAAACTATTTGTTTTTGTGATTTCTTCTCCATTTTGTACCATGCTTAATGCTAGCACACATTACCTAATTTTCCCTTCCATCTCTACTCTACAGGAAGCTGTCAGGAGATCTTTCTAGGCTCTGGATGTTCTTTCTCCCGACAGTGTCTCCTCAGGGCTCCTGTGACCATTCCTCTGACTGCACTTCCAGCCTCTGCAAATGGGCACCTCCTGCCTTCTCCTTTCACCTGGGTACCAGACCATCTTTTTAGCCTCTTAGAGCACACTTCTGCTTAGAGGCCACTTCAAACTCAACATGTCAGCAAGACACAGTGGCAAGTGGCTGGCCTCAGCACCTGGAGCCTGCCTCATAATCCCAGCTCCATCCTGAACTAGTTGGGTAAACTTGGAGCGACTCACCTAACTTCTCTGAGCTTTGACATGCTCATTTGTGAAATAAAGGGGTTGAATTAGGTGACTTCCAAATTATTCTCTTCCACTCCAAAAAGGGGATCCTAGAAAAGAAACCATGAAATCTTCCTTTTTCCTATATCTAATCCTTCAAATCACAAATTCTGTTGTTTCTGCTTCTGAGGAGTAGAAGATCCACTCTGTTTTCAACTGGCACTGACTTAATCCCAAATATACTCTCCTCACCTCATGCTTGAATTATTGCAAAAGCCACTCCAAATCTTGCATTTTTCACTCCAGTGAAGTGGAACAAGTCGTAATTCCCAAAGTACACCATGCTATGTAACATCTGTTACCTTCCTTCTCCTTCCAATGCTCTTTTCTTCCCTCTTTCCTAAGGTCGCTGTCACTTTCTTCCCAACTTTCCTGGAAGTCTCTACTCAGGTGCCACCTGTTCTAGGAGCTCCCACAACTCACAACTTGGACTGTCCTGCTCCCCTGGCACACAGCATACCTCTAGTGCAGAAGCCAGAATATAAGCTTGCAGTAGTGGAACAACCTGTTGACAAGTGTCCCTTGCCAGCCCACACACTTAAGAGGACAGGGACCCTATTCTTTTCATCTTTCTAGCTAGAGCTTTACGTGGTGCCTAGCTCAGGACATGCCTGAAGATATCTTCACTCTTCAGCCTATTCAAAGCTTGTCTATACATCCTAGCCCGGAGCAAGATCTTCAGTTGCCTGTAAAGCCGTTTCTAACTGCTCCTGTTCATAATAACCTCACTCTATTCTCAATTCCTACTTATAGCCATCTTGACTTAGGTCTTACTTATTTCATTGTTATCATGTATCACTTAATCCTCCTCAAGAACAGGTAAGTTTCTCAAGTGCAAGAGCTCTCTCAGACTCTTGTGAGTGCCTGGGAACATCCAGCACAGAAAAGGTGTTCAATGTCCAAATATCAGCCCCCGCAATCACAGAAGCAGCAGGAATAACTAAAATTTGTTAGATACTTTGTGCCAGGCACTGAGCACAGCGCTTTATAGATGAAATCATGAAAACATTATTTTTAAAACATGCTCTATTGTAAGAATGCTACTTCTTTTAAGCAGTTAAGGTCAGTTCTAGAGTCTGATGATAAGATGGAGGAGGCATTATGCTAAAAATACTGTTTTAAGATTTAAAAACAATCCAAAAGACTGAAAATTAACATCCTGGCATGAAGTTAAATTTATCTATAGTTTTGGACAAATTTAAAACTTTTGAATTCAGTTAAATATTGAGTAAGGTACTAGCAAAAGGTTTTGATTTAAGCAAATGTCATTTGGAGAGATCAGAGAAAACACCCATGAATTCACACTGTATTTTAAGCAAAACTAAAACCTAACCCATACAGCTGTTGAATTCTGTAATAAATCAAAATAAGATTCTCTCAACAAAATATGCCAGAAAGGAACATTCAAGAAAAAACTAGATTGCTAAAAAAAAACTTTTGACTTCTCTTAATACTCAACAGTTGATCTAAGTAGATTTAAAACAAAACAAAACAAAACAAAACACAACAGAGATTAGGCCAAGTATTGCTTCCCTAAATGCATCCTATCAAGAAAAGCACAACCTCCTGTAGTAGGGAAAATTGTAGACGGACCCTCATTACATCCCTTGCAACACCTTCCTCTGAAGGGCCACCAGATCTGGTCAAGGTGCTCAACTGTACCTGGGGTGACAAGAGTTGCAGGCTGTTGGCTCTAGCTGCCATCCCTTGCCCTATGCTCAAGCTTCCATCCAAGCCTTTGGCTCTCACTTTGTCACGGGTCACATACATAGAATGCCTATGAGGACGCTGCTGGGAAGAAAAGGGGCTCGTATAGCCCAGTCCATAAGAAAAAGATTCGTGAGGTGCAGACAGCGAATGGGAATGGCTACTGTCCATGTGCTCGGGCAGCTTCAATTCCTCCATTGTCTTAGAATGTCTGGTTGTGGTTCGACGTGAGTCCAGCGTTCCTTCATTTCGGTTATTTCTCCCTGAAGGGCTGAGCAAAGTTCTTGTGTCGCTGTGTCTGGTGGGGGTTGGGCTGGTGGGAGAATTCAAGTCTAAGCAGCTAGATGGGAAGTACCTACTGCTACTGGGCTCCGTAATTTGGGCCCTGGCTTCAGAAAGGTTGCTAACAGACTTGGAGTCACTCAGTGCCCCATGGCTTTTGGCCTTGGTCCTGTAGGAGGGACTCCTAGAGGACTGGGGAATGGTGTCGATATAGCTATGCCGACTCTGCTTTTCATTGGGCTGCAGTGTCCCAGCTTTGCTCTGAGAGCTTTCCATGAATGAGTGGCGGTTCTGCTGAGATCTGCTGTTCGACTTGAGGTACTTTGTCCCCGGGCCTTCTGAAGGCTTTGGGTCAATATTAAAATCAAACTCCGTTTTTGACTTGGCTTCTTTTGGGCTAAGAAGGTGTGGTATGTTGTTGTTGGTGAGATCTTTGCTGGTAGACCCAGGCTGGCTGCTTGCTTGGTAGGTTTGGTGTGCATTGGGCTAAGACTAGCTCCGGCAAGGTTTCCATTTAGGAAGCTTTCATTGGCAGGGAGACCTTCATCAGCCCGGGGCAGGCCTACACTCAGATTCTGGATGTCTTTGCTGTTAGATCTGTGGTGAGATTGCAAAGCAGTACTTTTGCCGGCTTGGTTTCTATGTTAAAACAAAAGAAGTTATCAGTTTCCCTCAATAGCTGACACACAAAAAGTATTGTTAAAAAGAACAAATACTTAAAACACCTGGAAGACTAAAAACATCAATTCTCTCAAGCATGTGCCTACCGATAACAAGTAACCTATCAATAGCAATTCAGTTTCTTAGACCAATTCACTCTGTAACAAAGCACTGGCCTTGATGAAATTATCCTGGCACTGCTAAATGCTCAGGTAACTTGCTGTCAAAACAGTTTCTAAATGATAATCTGGTAAAACATGCTCTTACTATGTTGGTACTGATATGAGTGTTTGTGATAGAATGACTGCTAAGAAGAGAGCTGAGCTATAAACTCTGTAACTCTTTTGTCTGCTTGAATGTCAGAAGACAACATTTAGACTTAAAGGTTACTGTGTTTCTTGAACTTCATTTTTATTTGTAAAACTTGTAGCCTGCCTCAGAGATACATACAGCACATACACACAGACACCAATGTCTCTTTTGCCTGCATAATCAAAGAATGATAATTCTGGCAATGTACTCAATAAAAGAAAATGACACTCTAAAAAGAAATGTAAACTGTCCAGTGAGGTTTGTTGGAAAACATGATGATCAATGTTTATGTCTTGGAGAAGTGGCAATTACTTGGGGCTCTTCAGACATCTCCTTGTATAGTAAACAGGAATCCTGTACTATACCGGATTACAGAGAGCTGAAAGAGTTCATTTCTCTCCAAAAGACACAATTATTTTCTTTTTTATTTAACACTTCATTATCCTAGACCGACTGAGCCCTCCTTTAGGACTTAAAGCTTCATTTCACACTTGGTTTAAAATCCAAATATAAATCCAGAGGAAAACCTTGTCCTCTATTTGAAAGCTGAAACTGATGCCATAGCAAGATCAGTTTGTTCTACCGTAACTATTGAAAGGACATAATTATAGCTTGGGACAGACAAGAATGTTTAAAAATGAATAATGATTTACACAATTCTGGTTTTACTATACACTTAGAAAATTTTGCTGCGAAAATGCTATTGCTACAGCTGGTTTGATTTGGGAGAGTTTTGTTCCCATGAGACACTACTGGAAGTCACTTTTTTTGTTGTTCATGTAGAATGGTAGTTTGTGAAACTCTGCCTTCCAATTTTCCCCATGAGAACCTGCATGCTCAGCCATCAAATAACATAAGGACCCTTTTCCTAGTCTACCTTTCAGTCACTACTCTCTGCCAGAATGCTGCTTGAGAGTGTCAAAAATCTGATACTGAGCAAGCCTGTGACAGTGTGGGTATGGGGGGGCTCATCTCCTAAATGTCCTCACTAATCTCTTCCAGTTGGGTTATTAGAATTGCAGCATTAAATAAAAGAATACCTAAATATGAGCACCAAATGGCAAAGCCCAGATCTAGAAAGAAATTACAAAGAAAGAAATACTAAGTTTCACTTTCTGCTAAATGATGTTAACAGAGTCTATCCCCAGATCAATAAAGTCCCTGTATCCTAAAGGCATCAGGTTTTAAACCATTAAGTTGTTTGCCAACTTATATCTTGGTAACTAAAATATCTCAGTGACTTTTTAAACCTAAATAGTGACAGACCGTCTTACCCACAAATAGATCTAAGTATGTTGGTTATTCTTCATTTGCTCAACCTCCAATCCATCCTCCACCCGGTCAGCCTGGCCCTGGGCCTCAGGAACCCAATGCTGCAGATTGTCACCCACGCTTCCTAGCCAGCTAGCTTCTGATTGGGCTTAGCAGTGGAAGGCATCACAAGACAAAGAGGAGAGAGGGGCTGGGAGATGTCTTCCGTGCTCCTTTCCTGTAGGCATCTGCACCCTGACTGATTGTGGCTATGTCCTTCTAGATGACAGCTTCTAAAGAGTGGCTCCTCCTGCCCAGCTCCAGCTCTCCCTGGACTATAGAACCCTATTTTGTCCCCATTCCCCTTCAGGCCTAGAGACAGTAATTGCAGACAGATAACATGCGCAGATATTGGGAAATGTCCTCAGATCACAAAGACCAAAAAGGGACAGAAAACAGCAAAGGCAGTTGCTTGAGCCTTTGGAATACTTAGAAACACTGTTAGCGATGTTGAGCAGAAACGTACATGTGGATCTTAGGAAGAACATATTCAGAGCAATGTAAGAGACAATTCTAACATGAAAAGAGAGGTTACCCAGTTAAGGTAGAAACGTGTCAAAGCTTTAGGTTTTCTGTAAATGTACAAACAGCCTAAACTGTCATTCTGAGTGCTTGTGTCTTAGGATTAGCTGGAAACCACTGAGCTTTGCACCTAATTCCTACATAGAAAGGGCATCATACTGTCTTTGCATTGGAGCTCTGCCAAAGTGCAACAATAAAATATAGCTTTGACAATTCCATAGATCTCTTTGACACACAACTGTAAAGAATCTGTGTTAAATTGCCAACTAGTTAAAAAAAAATTTTACATATAAACTCAAATGGTTGCAGATGGATGGATGGATAATGATTTAAAGTAAGTTTTAAAAGCAAATGTCAAAGGTGCAAAGCTCCATTTTGACAGAGAAGGCTGGCGCAGGACCGGGAGAGTGGCAGTGTGGGGCAGCTGACGCACCATCACATCATGTCCATGGTGAGCAGAACCTCAGGAGAGCCTGACGGAGACAGGCAGGTGCTAAGTAACACAACAGTCTACTGCCTCTCTTAGAGAGAAAGAATTTAGAAGACAAGGTACGCAATAGTGTGTGTATCTCTGGAGACAAGACAGGGGAGTTTATACGTGGCAACTAATGTGATATGGTGCTGTGAGCATCTCTAAAACAGTCCTGAGAAGTCTTAGGGAGCCACTGTTTGTGTTGAGATTCAAGCTAGAATTAACATCTCTAACAAAAAAAGCTTCCATGGAATAAGTATGGACCATAGACAAGAGTGGAGCAAAAGCGCTCGGATGCATGTAAAATGTGGTAAGATCATTCCTAGAAAAAGCATTTAGGACTTTTTCTTTAATATATTCAATACAGTGTCAAGACCTGAAAATGAATTCTTCCAGATATTTTAAATTAATTTCTATTCTCCTTTATTTCAAAAGGGGACTGGGGAGAACTCCTCAAGGACCCATACAAATCTTATCTTCTGTATCTGCTGAAAACATCATCATCAAACACATCCTCCTTAACAGATCCCTAAACAGGTTCCCGAGGAGAGCCTCAGGTCCCCACTGGTTAACTCCAAGAACTCTCTCAAATGAGTCACTAGAAGACAAACACACAGCCTCTTCACAGTATGGGTTACAACAGTAATTACTATAACACAAATCAAAAACATATTATCAGTCTACCGAACTGTATATCATTGGGATAATGTTTTTGTTGTAAACTAAAGGAGCTAAGAGACAATTAAGGTAGAAGGGAGATAAAAGCACCTGAACTGACAGTAACCCTAAAGAACACACAGGACTAATTCGCACCTCCTAAATGCAAAGGAACAACCAAATGATGACTATTCCTTGACTTAGTGTCCGAAAATTTCATGGCAACAAACACAGCCAGCTAATCTAAGTTGTGAGGAGAAACAAACTGAAACCAGTCATTTTCAAGAAAAGTAAACAGCTCTAAAACACAATTACACTATCACAGTTAAGCAGAACAAACATACGATAAATGGTCATCATCAATCTATGGATGCTCTCCCAGACCTAAATAGTACCAGGTATTGAGCTTTCAAAATTCTGATCCGTTAAGAACAATTGCCTGGCCAGGCACAGTGGCTCACACCTGTAGTCCCAGCACTTTGAAAGGTTGAGGTAGGCCAATTGCTTGAGCCCAGGAATTCTCAACAAAAGATACAAAAATTAGCCAGCCATGGTGGCACATGCCTGTGTGTACCAGCTACTCGGGCTGAGGTGGGATGATCACCTGAGTCAGGAAGGCAGAGGCTGCAGTGAGCCATGATTGCACCGCTGCATTCCAGCCTGGGCAACAGAGCAAGACCCTGCCTCAAAAAAGAACAATTGCTCTATATGGATGGAAAATTTGAGGTTGGGGGTAGGAAGAAAATTTATATTAAAAAGCTTCATATTAGAAATGACTATTTTCAGCCAGATGCTCTGGCTCCTGCCTGTAACTCCAGTACATGGGGAGACTGAGGCAGGAGAACTGTTTGAGGCCAGGAGTTTGAGACCATCCTGGACAACAACAGTGAAAACCCATCTCTACAAAAAAATGTAAAAAATTAGCCAGGCATGATGGCATGCTCCTATAGTCCCAGCTACTCAGGAGGATGAGGTGGGAGGATTGCTTGAGCCTGGAGTTCAAGGCTGTAGTGACTTATGATCATGCCAATGCACTCCAGCCTAGAAGACAGAGCAAAGGCCCTATCTCTAAAAAAACTAAAACATAAAAATAAAGAATCATTGTTTTCTATTTATCTTGTAATAGTAGACAAGAGAAACTATGTCCTATCTCCCATAATCCAATGAGCCCAGATGAAAAGATCAGCCTCTTGGGAGATGAATGAAGACAGGGAGACCATGACTAGGACACTGTCCTCTTAGACATGCAACCAACAGAATCAAGGAAAGTCAGGTCTGAAAGACAACCTGATCATACGGCCCAAATCCTATATGTATGTTTTTTCAGGAAACAAGCTTTTTAAAAATTATGCTGAAAAATCATATTTAAAGAGCAACAATTTTAATCACTGACTTTACTATTTCCATATTGTCTTACGAAAAATTAATTTCTCTATTCAACGAGTAAAAGACAAGAGCAATCAAAACACAAGACCCCTCCATAGAGCCAGATCTACTTGGTCCAGTCACAAAGATTACACTAGATACATTTCCATCCACCATCTGTGTTTGGCATCCTCTTCTCTCTCCAGAAATCCCCTTGCCTTCACCCTTCTTTCCTCCTCTAGGTATCACTGATGGGTCTCATTCACGTAGAATATTCTAGCTCTTGAGACTGTAAACCCCCTTAGTTGCTAACCCAATGCTACCTTTCCCAGGGAATGCATAGCTTTCCATCATATACTAGTTAAAGATAAGAAAGTCTTTAAGACCCACACAACTCCTTAATTGTGGTTCTGAATCATGCAATAAGCATAAGGAAGATATTTTTGAATAAAGAGCGCTTTCCTTCTTTTCTCTAATTGCATCATTTAAGCAGCCACCTCCTCCACCTACTTGTAAGACCAACACTGCATCTGTATTTCCTTAAAAGGGAATATTTACCTATTAGACAATGTGCTGCTTTCCACATGGTAAGGTTTTCTTTTTGCTGACCTTGAAGGAGAACGATCCAGAAGTCTCTGGGTTTGAAATGTAGGGTGATTCAAACACTGTTCTGTCAAGTATCTGTCAGCTGGGTCCAACTTCAGTAAATTCTCAGGAAATAAAATTTAGGATTGTTAAGAACATTACAAAGTCAAATTTAAATTCTAATAAAAACCTTATTGTTTTTCCTTAGAAATACACGGTCATTGCAGAATATCAGGTAAACACAGTTCAGGAAATTAAAAAAATACTATCTAAATCACCTGTAATCTCATCATCAATGTCCTCTTGGTATATATCATCCCAGCCCTTTTTTGAACATCCTATATATGTATTTTTTTTTTACAAAATTTGGCCTATATTATATACACAGTTTTATACCCTGCACTTCTCATTTACTAATCAAAATCATTTTTACAATATAATTAAAAAATTTAAAGTATACTTTTAATTAAGTGGATATTCACTTGAAAGAAAATACATTCTTAATCTTTCTCTTGTCCCCCAGATACCCAGTTTCTGGAGGCAGCCTAGGTTACCAGTTTCTTGGGCATCCTTCCACGGATACTCTATTCATATCTCTATCTGTTCCTTTTATTTTACCCACATAGTAGTATACACACAATTGTGGGAATTCAGCTTTCTTCCCACTTGACATAAGATCTTAAGAAATCATTCTGGGCTGGGCGTGGTGGCTCACGCCTATAATCCCAGCACTTTGAGAAGCCAAGGCAAGCAGATCACCTAAAGTCAGGAGTTCAAGACCAGCCAGACCAACATGGTGAAACCCGTCTCTAATAAAAATACAAAATTAGCTGGACGTGGTGGCTCATGCCTGCAATCTCAGCTACTCAGAAATCAGTACTGTGGTTTCTCAAGGTGCAGGGAGGAGGTGGGGGGCATAAAGACTGGAAGGAGTGGTAAGAAGGCTTCCACGGTGTTAATAATTTTCTCTATCTCCATCTGGGTAGAGTTACATTAATATGTTTACATTATAAAAAGTAATTGACATATATACATAATTTGTGTACCTTTTGAAAGGGCATTTCAATAAAATATTTACTTAGAGAAATCTGATGGTAAAGATATTAAATAAATAGGAATTTGAATGTTTAGCTTCTAAACTGGCAGAAGCACAGGAATATTCAGGTTATCTTTCTACTTTTATCTGTGCTAGCTTTTACAGGTACCCCACTGATGCTTGGCAATTATATTTGGTAATGATTTAACAAAAACATTCAACTATTTTTAACTAAAGAAAGATAAAAGGCAGAAAACATGAAATTGTATTTAATTCCATGTTCCTACTTTATTCTATTTACATTTTAAAAGTTACCAAATTATTAGGGTCTCAATCAATAAGGATTGACCGCATGAAAAAGTATATTGACAAAACCTACCCGATTTAAGTGATAATTTATGTATAATTAAACAAAAGGCTTTGAGAGTTCTTTTTTGGGGATAGCATTTTTCAATCTGTGTTCAGAAGAACACTAGAGCTTTAGTTTTATAAAAAAAAAAAAACAGTATTGAGTATTTAATTAAATTTGGAAAATATTGGGTAAGACAGAAATGCTTTTTTATTGTGATATTTCTAAAAGCCTTTATAGATTAATGAATATTGTGAATCTCTACAAAAGGTTATATGGTATGTGGCCTTTCCCAAATGTCACACCCTCCTCCCCCACCTCCACCCCCATACCTATGTACACTATGTTCCCTGAAACACAGATTAACATAGTTTAAAGCACGGCAAAGTTCTGAGAATGCCACTCAGAAATTTCCGACTGTGCTAAGTATGCCTTTTAAAGGCTCTATGCACAGTGTAACCTCCACTGATTTTGACAGTTGATTGATTGGGCATAAAATAAAACTGATCCATTAACAAGTGTTCTTTGAAGGTCTACTATCAAACAACCAGCACTTGCTTATGCACTTCTGGCTGCAGTGAAAGCTGGAGAAATATGAAAAATAGTTCCCACTCAAGGAGCTGACTGTCTACTGGAGAAAAAAAATAAACTTGAATAATTTGAGAATGCTTTTAGAGTGAAGAGCAGGAAGACTTCTGGATAGGGAGGGTAGCATGAGGGAGAACACTTAGATCACAGCATTAGCAATGATCCTGATATGTCTAAAGTAGAACCAGAAAGAGTCTGGGTGAGAAGAGGCCAAGTTAGAAAAAGAGGAAAATTAGATTCACTGATCAAATCTGTGTAGACAATGGGAGGCTTCAAATACCATGTCAGAAAAAATTGTTGAATCTCTTCTTTCAACATTGATTTTAAGATATGTTTTAAAACCTTATGCTTGAACAGCTCTTGCGTGCTAACCAATTTTTATTTTTTTGTCCATTTTAAGGATGTCATTTAGGAATTTCATGATTCTGTCTAGATGGACTGTGACAATACCAGATCGCACTGTAATTTTAAATAAATTACATGCCTTTTAATATGATATAGTTCCCCATGATTTGCCATTACACATCTTCTAACATTTCACTCATAAAAGCAGGCTATGGTCACATGTAGACATAAAAGAATCCACAAACCAAAAGATATTTTATAGAGATAATATATCACCTTGCCTTACCTTCATTAGGTCAAGTAGAACACTATTCAAAATTCCAAGGTATCTTCTTTCCAAGGACTGAGGATGGTTAACAGCTGGAAACTGTAAGAGCAACACAATGGTAATGTTAACATTTAGGGAAGGATATGCGTGTGCATGTGCTTGTGAATGTTACAGAAGGGAGCAGAGGAGCAAAAATGCCAATCCCAGTCACATTCATACTTGTATATTACTTTTGTTGTCTACATATTTTTTTTTTTTTTTTGAGATAGTCTCACACTGTCACCTGGGATGGAATGCAGTGGTGCGATCTTGGCTCACTGCAACCTCTGCCTCCCGGGTTCAAGCGAGTCTCCTGCCTCAGCCTCCCAAGTAGCTGTGATTACAGGAACCTGCCACCATACCCGGCTAATTTTTTGTATTTTTAGGAGAGATGGGGTTTCACTATGTTGGCCAGGCTGGTCTTGAACTCCTGACCTCATGATCCACCCATCTTGGCCTCTCAAAGTGCTGGGATTACTGGTGTGAGCCACTATGCCAGTTGTCTGTGTATTTTTATATGGATTAATGGGACTGGGTGTCAATTAACAGGCAAACTCACAGGTGAAAGATGATACTTAAATCTAGACAGACAATACTAAGGCATGTGAAACAAACTAAAATATAAAATTTGAACTAATTATGTAGTAAAATAGAATATCATCTCCTTACACAATTAGTTCTAATATAGTGGATACATGATTTGTCTGCTTATACACATGATTCTTAATTACTGATAGTAATTAAGGGACTAGCAGAAGGGATATTATAAGACATCAGATAGAATTCTTATAGCTTCTTAACAACATTTACTCTTGAAAACAGAGAAGTAAAAAAGAGACAGTAAGTGGCCAGTATCTAAAAGGTCACAGAGTAGAGAGTGGATTCAGACACACATTCTTTCATCGTTTTTAATATGCTCTTATAATGACCTGTTTTCAAATCCTTCCTTTTTTAAAGCTGGAACCAAAGACAAAGCTAGGTTCCCAGATTAACAAATGCATTTTTAAATAAAATGAGGGGAAGAGGTCAAGTTTATTTAGATGCGCTTTCTGTTCTTTCCTCTGCCAACTCACATTTTGCAATATCTAGTGGATGTTAAAGTACTGAGTAACATGACTGGCAAAGCCCAATGCCATGCACTCCCTTCTAAATGTGAGGGCTAGTCTGCTTCCATATATTATTTCCTCTATACCAATATACAAGCATTTCGAAGTACTAAAATTCCTAAACACGCTAAATAAGTAAATGGAAGGACTAATTATATAGTAAAATTTCAAACAAGGTATTAAGGAGTGATTACGACATCATCTCCACACCGTGCTCTGGACAGCAGGAGACTAAAAATACAAGACCCAAACCCTGCTCTTGAGGAATTGGCTGTCTGGTTGGGAAAACATCAGTGTTAAACTGTGCAACCATAAATTCTAGTTGAAGCTCACAGAAAGGAAAGACCAAAGTGGTTTATGGCCATGGAGAAAGAACCCATAGGTAATAACTGAACTGGGTTTTTAAAGATATGAAAAATGTAAAGACAGAGAAAAGTAGGACAGCACCTTCCAGATAGAGGAATAGAATGAACTCAGCACAGATGCACAAGGCAATATCCTAAAACTGATTTCTGAGGGAAGTGATGTTATGCGAGGCATTCTGGATATATTATTCTTATTTTAGAGATGAAGAAGGTGACAATCAGAAAGTTCAAATAACTGGTTCAAGGCAAGTTACATAATTAAACAGCAGTAGAACTAGTATTTGCACCCAGTCTTGTGATCCAAACCCACACTCTTTCTAAACCTAGGTGCCTCTCCTAAGGGAAGTACAGAGGTTTCCTTTGATGTTACTGGAGCATTAAATATCAGCCCAAAGAGAAAGACAACAACCATGCTGTGATAAAAGACCCTATACCAGTACATTTTAATATTTTGTGTATGAGGTGTATCTTATGCTACCAGATATCCCCTTCTTTTTCTAGGAGTCAAATTTCATTGACAAAAAAATTAATGCTGAAAGTCAAAAGGTATTAGAAATATTACAATAAAAAAATGACCAAGCAAACTCCTAACTTCAAAGAATTAATTTACATGCTTTTCAATGAGACCTGCCATTTTACTATGACATAATTCAACAAACAGCCAAAACTCATGCATAGAAGTTTAACGTATATCCCTATCAGTCTTGTTTCTTTCTGAATCATGTGGCCAATCCAATCTAATCCAATGAGAATGCCTCTTTGCTGAGCACTATGTGTGAAGTTCTGGCCTGGACATTTTACAAATAATATTTCATCTTTACACCAATCCAATCGGGCAGTCCTTTGGTTATCATCATTTTACACAAGAAGAAATAGAGGCACAGGATGGTGAAATAACTTACTGACATCATTCAAAATAGTAAATATGGATCCAGGCCTTGAACACCAGCAGTCTAACTCCAGAGCCTAGGCCCTATACTATGGGGCATCAACTGTTACTTTATCACAATAATGCAAACCAGTATAGCATCATCTTGTAGATTTTCCTGTCTCTACACAACTAAATCCAAATGCGCATCTCACTGGACTGGTTACTGGTGAGTCCATGGTGCACAGCAGATGCAGTTTACATGTCCCATGTGCTTACCTATCTGTCATAGACATTCTCAAATAACATCATGAAAGAAAACTTCTCCCTCAAAAGATATTGTTAACCCTCCAAAGAGATTAAACTAATTTAGTTAAAATACCAAAAACATTTTCAGACTAAAATGTAAAAGTATTAAGGTTTATAAAAGTCAAAGTGTGATGGAGGCAGCAATTTACTGAAGGATGTTTGTAAGCAGCATTGTCATATGCTGTCAAGCATTTTATAGATAATACTTTTTAGAGAAGAAGACTATGAACAAACAGGACCCAGACAAATGAGAAAAAGATATCCTTTGTGGGACCTATCTAATCAAAATGCTCCTCGTTCTTCAATATCCATTTCAAATGTCAAATGCTCCATAAAGTCTTCTCTAATGAATCCCCAACCATGATTTCTAACTTTCCAGAATATTTGACACTCTCATGTTCTAAACCATATGGAAATACATTAGAAAACTATACAACACGGTAAACAATGCAGTACTTTATTATATACCCTGCTTTCTTATCAACTGTATTGTTTTCTAGTTATTTTGTGGATGAAAGTCTTAATTCTTCAGCTAGTTTATAAGTTATTAAAGCCAAGTAGCATGTCAGACCTGTTTATACTCTCTTCAGAGAATCCAGCATAGAGCCTCATTAACCAGGCCAAGAACAAGTCAGCCAGCAAACCAGGCTTAATGTTCCAGCAGTTAATGTTAAAATACTGAGATCAAATATTTAATCATTCAACACTATTCAGCCTAGCAGGCATTATTCTAGGTGTGCTGCAAATATAAAGGTGAACACAACAGTTCACTTCCTCAGGGAAGTCATTAGTCCAGTGAAGATACATATTTGCAAACAGCTACTTAAAGGAGAATGCAATGGGTGCTACAGAGAAGGTATGATCAGAGTGTTACTGAGTCACCAGTTTCCCCTCGAATAGTCTAGAAGGCCTTCATGGAGGGAAGAAATTTGGCCTGAGTCTAGGGGAGGAAGAAGGAGGAGAAGAAAGAGGGGTGAATGTTGGGAGCGTTATAGAAATGGAAATGCAGACTATAGAAACAGTATGTCAAGGAAATGCTGAGAGGTTCAATGTGGCCAAAGAGCACACACTGGGCCAAGCAGGGAGGCAGAGATGAGGCTGCAGGGCTAAGAAGAAGGGGCTTTTAAAGCTACCCTAAAGAGTTTAAACTTTCAGAAACATTGAAGAAGTGTCTAAACAAAGAAGAGAATTGTGTGGTTTGAGAAATGTGAGAAGGCTAAAGTGAAAAGAGAAAGATCGGGGGATCCATTTGGGGGTGGTGGTCAAAGGTTAGGTAAAGATAAAAGGGTAGAAGAAGCATGAGAAATGGGGAGGAAAAAAAATACAGTTGAGCTTAAATGCTGATGCTGGAGACTGGTTAATCACTTCTCAGATATGTAGTGCGTACTTACTGGATATGGTAGTTTCTGTGTTAAATGCTGGAAACATATCTGTGATGTGATGAAACAGTTGATTTCTGCCCTTGAGAAATTTAAATTCTAGTGAGGGAGGACTAGATAGTTAATAATTAACAAGTAAAGAAATAGACAAAATAATTCCATACTGTGGTAAGTTCTATGATAGAAAAAAAGGGTGTTATGGGAGAAAGAATAGGAAGGAGGTGGGGATGGTATGTTGGGTTGCCAGAGAAAGGGGCACTCTTTGAGACTGACAGAATGAGAAGGCACCACATGAGGGAAGCACCTTGCCAGGAGAAGAAACCATGGGTCCCAAGTTGATGAAACTGGAAAAACCGTGGAATGTTTACAGAAGCAAAAGAACAAAAAACAATCTGGAGGGGGGGGGCGGGGAATGGAGATAGGTATGAGATGAGGTCAGGCAAGGAAGGTCTCAGTCTACAGCAAAGAGTTTAGATTGATTCTCAGTGAAAATGCAATTCATTAATTATGACTAACTTTATTTCTGAATATAATAGATTTTTCTTTCTTCTAGACTGTGGACAAGTCCTGTTTATTGTCATATTTCCAACATCTAGTATGACAAATGTTTGAAAATGTTGAGCTAACCTGCTGAACCACATGTACTGCTGGCACCCCAATGACTGGTCATATCTGGCAAATTTTTGGCTTACAAAAGCAAAAATAAAAGGAGAAAAGACAAACTTGCCTGAGGTAACTCAGACAAATGTGAAAGAGAGAGAGAGAGAGAGAGAGAGAGAGAGAGAGAGAGAGCAGAAGGAGATAAAAGAGACACTGGTATGCCTTTGTCCATTCATTTCGCCCACATTCACTGCACCTAGAAGGAGCTGGACGGTTGGGCACCCAGGTTTGAGTAGTAGTGGTCTCTAAAGGGAAATTAACTGAGGGCCAGAAAGTCAAAAAAAAAAAAAAAAAAAAAAAAAAAAACAAAAAAACAAAGTACTCTGTAAATGGCAAAGTAACATGGTTTGAGAATTATGCATTTCAGAGATAGGAAGGAAATGGTGAGATTATTTTATAGTTGCCACAATGACCAGCAATTGCCCCATGTTGGCCCAAAAAAGTAGCTGAAAACTTTTAAAAAGTTGTTTTTGGGGTAGATTAAAGTTAGAAGTAACCTATAACTCACTGAGCACTCCAATAAGGTGACTCCTCCTCATTTGGGAAAAATTTATACTTTCTAAGACGCTATTTAGCATATTCTTAGAAAAGCTTTGCACAAAGTTGTCAAGTCTAGGAAAGACTGCCCAAGAGAATACACTAATTTTTTTTTTTTGGAGACAGAATCTCACTCTGTTGCCCAGGCTGCCTCAGCTCAATGAAACCTCTGCCCCTTGGGTTCAAGCAATTCTCTTAACTGCCTCCCGAGTAGCTAAGACTACAGGTGTGCGCCATCATGCCCGACTAATTTTTCTATTTTTTGTAGAGATGGGGTTTCACCATGTTAGCCAGGCTGGTCTCAAACTCCTGGCCTTAAGTGATCCGTCTAACTTGGCCTCCCAAAGTGCTGGGATTACAGGAGTGAGTCACCACCGTTCATGGCCCCAAGACAATACACCAGTTTGAAAAGAAGATTTGATGTTTCACTGTCAGTGGACCAGAAATATTTACTAAAACAAGAACCTTTAAATCTGGGGAATTCAAGTTTTCAGTGCTCTCCTCAAATCATTATAAACATGTTTGCTCAATATTCATACATTTGGTATATTTGGGGGATGCTTACTATTTTGGATAAAGAAACAGTCTAGGCTGGACGTGGTGGCTCACACCTGTAATCCTAACAATTTGGGAGGCCAAGGCGCGCAGATCACAAGGTCAGGAGATCGAGACCATCCTGGCTAACATGGTGAAACCCTATATCTACTAAAAATACAAAAAATTAGCCAGACGTAGTGGCACACACCTGTTGTAGTGTCCCAACTACTCGGGAGGCTGAGGCAGGAGAATTGCTTGAACCCGGGAGGTGGAGGTTGCAGTGAGCCAAGATCATGCCACTGCACTCCAGCCTGGGCAATAGAGCAAGACTGTCAACAACAAAAGAAACAGTCTAAGATAACCAAAGTTTAGAGTGTAAGAATGTATACGCTAAAAAAGATTTGGAAAAACTGGAACTTATAAATTAAAAAAAGATTAGAATTTGAATTCTAACCACTTTTTAAATTCACAAATACTATAAAATATTTCGAAATAAAATATTATGGTAAGGATTATAAACACCATAATGGGAAAAGAAATAGCATTCAAAGGATAGTTTAGCATTCCATTGTTGTTGTTCAAATGGTATTTGAATTCTATTCAAATATTGCAGTATTGATTCCATTTTGGGTTTCAGCAAAACATCTTACCCGGAGCCCATGAAAGCGAGGATTACTGTAGAAGAGCTTCATCTGCTCAGATGGAAGTGGTCCTAGCACCTTCTGAATAGTAAAAAGTTGGTCAATTTCACTTTCTCCAGGAAATAAAGGCTGTCCATCGCTAAGCTCCCCAAGAATACAGCCCACCGACCACATGTCTACGGACTTTCCATAGGGAGCGCTGAAAAATAAAGGAAGAGATTATTTTGGCAACTGAAAAAATACAATGTTTTGATAATTTCCAAATTATTGTGAACAAATTCATAATTTGCAGCAAACTTGTATATTTATGAAATTAAAATCTTCCATGTGAAAAAAGGTAAGGCTGAAAAGTAAATCATAAGAACACAGGTGAATAAACCTATGCTAATAAAGCCATCAATTTAATAATAATTTAGTATACACTAATTTGAAAAGTATTCACATAAATATATGTAAAAATATATATATATATATATTAAACGTGAATGGCATAATAAACCCTAATACAGTATACATGTCTGGCAAGTAATACCTCACTAGGGAAATGAAATGCTTCCAAAGAATTGTATTTTCTAGGATAAATAATTATCCTTTAGCTCTTTAAATGTCAAAAAGATACATCTTATCCATTTTATGAGTTTAGTCTATTAAAATTTACTATGGACTGACTTATGTGTTTTCTTAACAATGAATATTATTTAACCTTCCATTACTCAGCATCACAGTTTCTGATAGCTAAGATTGTGCTAAGGTCTACCATATTATTTATTTGAATATAATATGTGCGTAGCCTATGTATCTAGAGCTTTATGGTAGCTATTCCCCTCAAAACATTTTCCAGTTCACTTAGGAGTTTATAGCTTTCTTCTAGGGTGTGAGTTTACCAGAGGGCTTTAGGAGTGCTGCTGTTATTGATAAATGGAGGTTTGTATATGAAAATCTAGGTACCCTCAAAACAGTTTTATATCTATTTCCTAGTAGCTAGAGTGTTAAAATTATTTATAGCAAATTAAGAAACCACACACACACATACACACACACACACACACAAAGCGCGCATGCTCACACACGTTTCAAACATAAATAAATAATCCAAGCTTTAAGAAGGGAAACTCAAAAGAAAATATTGAAAAAAGAATATGGAATGAAACTCTGGAATGCCAAAATGAAACAGTAGTGAAACAAAACTTTTAATTCAAAGGACTGTTAACATTACACAGAACAGATTTCTAGGATAACAAATCATTGCAATGGTAAGTCAATATTTCATTTATTCATTTCCTTCCCATATCAACCTAAGAACCACACAAAGAAACTTCACTTAGATCTTTTAGGTAAGTTTGTTGGGCAGGGAAAGATACTGATCATTCTTTCATATCTATCTGAGAGAGAGAAAATTTGTTCCATAGTGCTAGATGGAGAAACTTATGGAAAAATTCCACATACCCACTACAAGCTATTTTTCTTCTGTCATCTGATTTGAATAATTTATGCAGCTGGAATGATTCTGAATGTCAAGGACAAAGCCTTGAGAATGTATAAAATTTAAATTCTTAATGTATAACCAAATATCTGATTTCAAAGGGATTTTTACTAATACAGTCTTCAACTAGTACTTGACAATCAGTTAGCAATGCTCATTTTAGCACTAATTTAGTTACATTATCCCCATACTTTCAGCAGCTACCGCACATCTCTAAACATAACTCTAGTTTTTCTATAAGTATTATTAGGCAGCAAATACTCTCCGAAGATTCACAATAAGGTTGTCCTCAAGATAAACTTCTTGGGGCCATGTTACAGACATCACCATATTATAACAAGCCCTTCTACTACACTTGAGTCCTCAGATGGGGTTCTAAGAATGATCTACTTCATACTCAGTTCTCCATTGGTAAAGTGTCCAGTAAATTCAAATTTCCCAAAAGAAAATGCACTATGCATCCCAATGAGTCCAAAAGGTACACAGAAAAAATACAGACAAACACAAAGAAAATCAATCCTAATTGTAAGATTAAAAATTAGCATAAAAATTCTAGACTCTGCCCACACAATGGAAGAGATAATAAAGTGACTAAGCATCATTTCTCTCTCAGGATAAAGCAAGCTTTTGATAAAAAAAATACTAAAGCTTTCAAAAAGTGATGTCAATGATTCTTACAGGCTTTAGGTCAGCAATAAATCAAGAATTACTACTAGATGATTGGTAGATAGTGGAAAATAAGTAGTTAATATAAAATCAAACCCTCAGTGAGTAACTAAACATGCAGTCATCATGCTCTTCAGAAAAAAATCCAGAAACTTATATTACTATTACATAAAAAACATTTTTAAAAATTAAATTCCTCATGTCCCCCAGATACATGTATGGAATGCTAAAGCAATGAAACCTACAATTTGTGCACTTGTCATCATTATCACTATATCTAATTTTATTTGTGGAGTATAACTTCTTTCTCTGTTCTTGGGTGGTCCCAAAGAAGGAAATACAATCTAGGGAAAATAATCCTACAACTAGGGTAGGTAGAGAATTATTAATGAGAACTACAGGCTCCTGACTCCTTCTCAGGCTTTAAAGTTAAAATGTGCTAAAAAGAAAAGAACCTGATCAGAAGACCTTTTTCTGGTACTAACAGATGAATGAAACAGCATTGAAAGTTAAAGGGTGGGCACAAAGGGAATGGATGTAGAGATGTTACTGACAAAATCATCAATGCAGTGCTAGTTTGAATAGCCAGTTATCATCAAATAGGATTTACATTGTTCAGAACAAAAAATGGCGATTGGTTAGTTTTTTGTTTGTTTGTTTTTGTGATGGGGTCTCGCTCTGATGCCCAGGTTGGAGAGCAGTGGTGTGATATCAGCTCACTGCAACCTCTGCCTCTGGGACTCAAGTGATTCTCCTGCCTTAGCCTCTCAAGTAGATGGGACTACAAGCAGGCATCACCATGCCTGTCTAATTTTCATATTTTTTTTGTAGAGACAGGGTTTCACCATGTTGCCCGGGCTGGTCTTGAACTCCTGAGCTCAAGTGATCTGCTAGCTTTGGCCTCCCAAAGTGCTGGGATTACAGGCATGAGCCACTGTACCCAGTCTGGTTCAATATTTACTCCATGTGCCTGGCAAAATGGTCGGATGTAAGAGATACTTGATAAGTATTTGATGAATGAATAAATGAACAAATAGGTAAGACAGAATGTCAAACTGTGTGGATATTCACATTCTTCATGTAGAATTTTATTAACAAAGATGGCTACAATAATTTTTTCCATTTCCATACATATGCCATTTTGTAATATGTTCTGCCATTTGTCCCATCAAGAGGTGGAATTTATTCCTCCATACCATCAGTCAGGGGTTGGTCATGCAACATGCTTTGGCCAACGAGGCAAAAGCCATACAAAAAAGGCCTGAAAGCTACTGCTGCTTTGAGGCTCACCCTCTTATGGCACAGAATTCTCCAACTATCACACTTAGAAACTTGGACTAGCCTACTGGAGGATAAGTCTCCAGGGATCAGAGATGTTCTGACCCATTTAGACTCCTAAACTAACCAGCTCCCAGATGACCTGCCAGCTGACTATACCTTCCATGAGTGACCAGCAGAAGAACCACCAAGCTGAACTCAAACTGCTGATGCCCCCACACCCAGAATTGTAAGCAAACAAAATAGTGCTTATTTCATACCATTAAGTTTTAGGTAGTTTGTTATACTTCAATATGTAACTGACACATTTAATTAACTGAAGTTTATTTTCCATAGATGATCTCAAAGCCAATGACAACAGGATCAGCAGATGTGGAGATGTCATTCTATTTTGGGACGGTAACTCACCCAAGTAAGAGTTCTGGGGATCGATACCATCTGGTGGCAACGTACTCTGTGTAATTAGCATTATTGCCTTCTGACAGATTACGAGCAAAACCTGCAAGATAGAAAAGTCCAAAGCTGTAACTTTGAAAAATAAATAATAATTAATGTTGGCAAAATATTTTAGCACTAGTAATAGTTTAAACGACATCAAAAGAATGTGATGACTGTTCTTGCATGGGCTATTTATTAATAATATCCTTATCTTAAAAAGTTAGTAGAAGGTTCCTATGTCAATTGAAAGACATACAATGTATTCACTTCAAATCCAGTCTCTTCACTATGCTAAAGAAATCCATGTTTTCAAAGTCACTCCATGCTTTTATAATTATTCAGAGCGTACTTTTAAATCAGCTCTCTCAATAAATCCAAACCTTAGGGAAAAAATGAAATGAAGTCCCCACAAAAGCTAGAAATCAAAGTCAAACTAGCATATTGTAGATGATCATTAATTTTGCTATGTGGCACTTACACAGTATTTGCATACGTATTGTTGCTGAGCAGTTCTGGCCCTTACATAAACAGTGATGGAAACAAAGCAGGCCAAAATTAGTATAATTTCCTAATGACTGAGCATATTAGGGGTATCTTAGTTACCAATTACAGACTCTATCATAACTTTTACCCCCACCCTTTCAAAAGGTTTTAGGGCCACAAAATAAGGCAGGAGGATAAGTTAATCATCCATCTAACTCACCAAACACAACATAGGTTCACTGAATAGTTACAGCAAATCAGAACATTAAAATTAAGAGTGAAAATTAAGGTGTACATCAGTTTTGAGACATGGAAAATAGTTTTTCTTAAAATGAAACAGCAATAAATTAAAAACAATCACAGCACAAGACAAAACCTCCAACTTCAGATAATCAGTGTTTCTTCATAAGACATGCTTTGAATAAATATTTGTATTTTTGAATGGGATTCTTCAAGTCAGACCAAGAGCTGCATGCTCTGGGAGGGGAAAAATTAGGAAGTCCTTGCTAGGGATACACGGGACACAGAATGCCACATGTGGTGCTGCCAGAAGGAACTTCCTGACCATTTACAACAGTCTTTTCTCTGAGAAATAATGCCAGACCAGGAGTACTCTTTTCCTACTATTAACCATTCTATAGGCATTATTTTATATTCATAACTTGCTTTATATTTTCAGTAACTTAAGTCTCTGTTTTGGGTGGTAATCACAATTACAGACAGGAAATCAGAAACAGATGCTATTCCTGAAAATCATAATGCTAAGAAAATGCTAAAAATGCTATAATCAAAATCTTTTAGATCTAGTATTCAATATTTCCTTTATCCTAAGCACATTCTTTAAAAATTTAGGATATAGCAAGACTCTTTTACATACTAGTCCTTATCATAAAGTATGAAGAAAATTAGCTCCCATAAAACATTTTTTCTCAGGCAAACAGGTTGCTAATATTCAAAACCTTTGAAAATATTAAGTGACAATACCTACACATGCTTCCAATTGCTACAATGGACAAAGTGCATAGGAGATGAATGTGTAATTATGAAATATTTAACAATTAAATATTAAATATGAAAAAAGACATTTAAAAAATCAAGTGTTTATTTTTCAGAATACAGGTTAGGCAAAATTATAATTTAAAAAAGTGACCCATGACCTAAACAACCTAACATACAATCTAAAATTTTTTTCTGAATTATTTTAATTTAAATGGTTAACTGAGATTAATACAGAGTTATCTACATGAGAGACATAGACAATTTTCTACTAGGAGAGAGTACACCTAAAAAAATTTCCCTATACATTCAATCAAGAGCTGGAATATTATACATTACTAATCCCATTCACTGAACATTTAGAGGGAACAAATGAAAATGCTCTAAAAATGTCTTTTGACTTTATAGATATATAACTATCGCATATACAAAAGACTTATGTATATTTATAGAGGAATACTTTTGGTGTTTATGATAAAACCTGAAACAACTATCAACATTAAAAAACTTTTGTCAAGTAATCAGGTTTTAGGCTTATGTGTGTATTTGCTTTGAACTAATTCTTATTCAACAAAAACCATATGACAATTTTTTTAAAATAGTAGACAATACTCTGAAAAGAAGGAGCAGCATTCCTCCAGCAATCAAGTTTTCAACATATGACTCAAAAGAATGTTCCTCTACCAATTTAAGTCAAAACATATTAATTATTTTTAATATTCCTTTAAAAACTACCTATGTGTTACAATAAATTAATTCTGTTAAGTACCAGGACTTAATTTCTTTTTAACTTACCAAAGTCACACAGTTTTAGGACATCATTGTGGCTGATTAAGAGATTTTCTGGTTTTATATCTGGAGTGTCAAGATTAAAAAAAGAAAATTAGTAAAAATGTTCTATGTTCTCCTGATTGACATTGTTAGATCACTGCAACAGCATCTAATTAGAAATATCTAGAGTAATTTGAATAGAAAACTGTGGCAGCAAAAAGAAAAGTAACACATTTTATCCTGGTACATAAAAGTCTCAATGAATTTCTTTTTCAGAAATATGCAGGCCACCATTTCAAAAATAATTTTTTCCTTTTTAACTATTAAAAGGATTAACTGGATCTCTGAAAGAATTTTAAGAATAATTAAATCTAGGCCAGTACATCTCAAAAAACTATTATTACTTCATAAAATACTAATAATACCAATTTTTAGAGATAGAAATATAAAATATTTACACTCACAAGATACTTTAAAATACATAAGAATAAATAGCTAGCATTATATTTACTGGAGAAAAAATACAAGATATGCTTTCTGTTACATTCTTCTACATAATTTCTGTATTTACATCTCTTTAGCTTTTCCGCATGGTTTACAATTATCAATGTCTGATGCTGAAGTCATACTGGATGAGTCAAAATAAGATTTCTAATTTTTTCCATGTTTTGATGATATGGTGGGAGTTAAGTAGAAATTCACAGAAAATACAGTTGAATTCTCTCCTTGGGAGGCATCTCACAATTATATTTTTAGAGTAGAATACCCATCATCTATATCATATGATAGAAGTGCAAATGGAGAAAGGGCAGAGGTAATAAAATCTATAGATTTCAAATCATGGTTTCTACCATTAATTCACAACCACTGATTCACTATGCACGTAACCAAATCACAGCATCATGATGGAAATGCATCTAATTCAGATCCTCATTAATATCCTCAAACTACATTATAGACTGTTACTAGAATCATTACCCTAGACACTAGATGTCCAGTTGATGTGGAGATCTACCCATGCTACCAACAACCTTGATAAGGTAACTGCTATGAGAGTCAAATGCAAGAGAAATATAAACTGTTTCTAGGAATAACATATGTTAGCATTCTTCCTATGACCTTTAAACTATTCTAACAAGTGAAACTATTTTTAAAGTGATATCCTTGCGTGTTTATGTATAGGTAAATTAAAATATAGCATTCTTTTATCTGCTAATTCAAAGACAAAAAGTAGATACTGCAATGCTTTTTGATAAATATTTAGGATCACTGTTGTATCAGTTTGTGTCCCACTACTGTAAAACTCTGCAATGCAAGAGAGATTATCAGGAGAAGATAATAGGTATAGAGTCAAAGATGATGCTGAGCAAGTAATTTCCCTTTCATTGCTATAAACCACCCACTTCATGGCAGTAAAGGATAAAACAGTTTATGGGAGTATAATTATGACCTTTTTGCAGGGTGATCATGCCTGCAAATGTACACAATGGGCACTTTTCACTAACGTGTCGGGAAAATTAGGAGGTGAAGATACATACTAGAGATTGTTGGTGTAAGAAGGAATGAGACATGAATGCCAATAGGGGCCAGTGAACTTAGGGACCACCTATATGAAGCCGGATTTGGAGTTGTTTCACATTACCTGGTCTATGTGCAGGATCAAGGCTACAGAGATCAACATTTTGCTCTTCTCCTATACCCAAGTAAGTTTCAAAGTTCACACTTGTTGAGTTTTCTTATATCACTAGGCATTTCTACAGTTGGGAGTGGATCGATAATAGTTATGCAACTGTAAAGATCTCACCACAATATCCAAATAAATTTGTAATCCATTCTTTTGGTGACAGAAAAGGAGATTTGGAGAGCAAATGACTTCTCATATCTTGTACTTTCAAAATATATTTAATTTAAATGGCAATGTCAATGCTTATGAAAATATTCTTAAAGATAGTAACGTCTGAAATACTTTTAACTTTATTTGATGTTTTAATATTTTCCATTTAAAAAAATCTCATACTCACCTCTATGGACAATATCATTCTTATGGCACCAGTGAATAGCCTTGATTAGCTGATAGATATAGCTTTTCACTTTCTCAGGTGGAACTCCATTGGGCATTTCTTCCAGCAATTCGAGCATATTCTAAAAATTAAACAGAGTCATTAATTTCCCAACTTGGGTAGGCCCATAAATTATGTATTAACAATTTTATAAAGCATCTAGAATAATTCATCCAATACAGAGCATGTATTTTTTTTGTTGTTTTGCTTTCTACATACAACTTTTTCATGCTGAATCAGGATCAAAATTGGGGCTTTCTTTTATGAGGAATTCCATTTCTACTATTCCCTAATGCTACCCCAAATAATAACCCTGTATACTTTCCACTCTCCCTAAAGGTTTTCAGGCATTATTTTAGAATAATTTGAAGAGAAAAGCAATACAAAGTAGAAATATGACACTGTAATGTATAAAGTGGGGAAAGAATCATTTTAACACAGTGTGCTATATCTCTTCAATAGAACCTTGTGATAAAAATCTGGCTTTGAAAATACTTCTGGAAGATCTGGGCAATATTCGTCAAAGAAAAAAATCTCTAAAATTAAAAATGATCAATACATTTAGTACAAAAATTCAAACAGGCCGCCAGAAAATACTGTTAAAATAAAAAGTCACAGACCCCATACAATTCAACATTCAAACCTTAATTTGGAGTCAGAGACCATTATAAACAAAATTCATGCAAAATTTTTTATCATGTGGAAAGTCCACTTAGCCAATCTCTATTGAATTTCCAGATTAACAAAACATTCTCCTTTCCCACTGTAAAGTACAAGGCCCATGGCACAAACGTAGCTTATTGTATGTAGGCAACCATCCAGGACAGCAGTTCTCAAAGTATGACCTGTGGAACTGTGAGATCTCAGACCTTGCAGAGGGCCCATAAAGTCAAAGCTATATTCATAAAATAGACTATGACATTTGCCTTTTTCACTGCGCTGGCATTTACACTGATGGTACAAAGCAACAATGGGTAAACTGCTGCACCTCAACATGAATCAAGGCATTGGATTCTTTAATCCAATTAAACCTTGCCTCTAAAAAAGAAAACAAAAGTTTTAGTTAAGGACATCCTTGGGCCGGGCGCGGTGGCTCAAGCCTGTAATCCCAGCACTTTGGGAGGCCGAGGCGGGTGGATCACAAGGTCAACAGATCGAGACCATCTTGGTCAACATGGTGAAACCCCGTCTCTACTAAAATTACAAAAAATTAGCTGGGCACGGTGGTGCGTGCCTGTAATCCCAGCTGCTCGGGAGGCTGAGGAAGGAGAATTGCCTGAACCCAGGAGGTGGAAATTGCGGTGAGCCGAGATCGCGCCATTGCACTCCAGCCTGGGTAACAAGAGCGAAACTCCGTCTCAAAAAAAAAAAAAAAAAAAGGACATCCTTGATGAAGCAGTACAAATTACTTTGACTAAATTTCAGTTCTTGAGTACATATCTTTTTTTGGAATCTGCATAAAATGGCAGACTGCACATAAAGCCCTCCTGCTGCACATGCGCCATCTGTACAATGGTTGCCCTGAGGAAAAGCACTTGAAAGATTGAGATGCAAGATGAACGAGCTGCTTTATGTGGAATGCCATTTTTTACTTTAAAGAATAACTGACATACAAACTTATCTATGTTAACAGGCAATACGTTTATTGTTATTTTAAAATGAACTAATGTTTTTATATTGCTCAGTCATGACTAATATGAGAAACACTAATAGATAAAATACACATAAATAAAAAGCTCTTAGGGTTCCCAATAATTTTCAGAGTGTGAAGGGGCCATAAGATCAAAAAGTTCAAAAATCATTGCTCTAATTTGGCCTCACAATTTTGTTCCCACCAGTCAAGTTGTATACCTATAAAGACTCAGTTGTATTTACTCTCATGCCTATTTACAATAGATGCACTTATTATTTTAATATAATTAAATACCATATAAACCAATGAAATAATGTTTTTGTTTAAAAAAGAGTTGCTGTTAATAAGAAAACAAAGTTGAATACTTTACAGAGGCTTAATAAAGGAGAAGCCACTAAACTTGTTGCCATCTAATCAAATATGAGACAACTACAAAACACTTGTAAGGGATGGGTGCTGGTGGGAACAAGCATGTCCACTGAAGGATTCTGCACAGAGATTGCTTTGCAGGTGTTTTTGAGCATTTGCTTTACTTTAAAGATGTATTACAGGTATGATGTACGTAAAAAAGACCAATCAGAACTTCAGAAGAGCATTATGCAAAAGCCCTTGACCCTACCTTTATAGTGTTGTAAATGAATACATAGAGTATTTCTATTTCCAATTAAAATAAACATTTTAAGTGTGTATGCATCGTTTTTTTGATTCACCATTTGAATTCCCTTTTTCAATTAACAAATTTATAGGAGGTCTCAAATGGATAGGTGGAATAGGAAGGCTTTATGATATAGAAAACAAATTGTATCTCTTGTTTCATATTCGTCTAAATTCCTAGGTGGCAGAGATATTGTCCTCCAGCATCCAGTCTTCCCTTACTCCGCAGGAACATAATTTTCAAGTGGAGGCCTAGCTGCCCAGAACAAAGAGTACATTTCCCTTCTGCCTTGCAGCTAGCATGGTCATGAAACTATGTCCTGGCCAAGGGGATGTGACAGCTGGAACTCCATCCTGACCTTTAGGACAAGGGTCACACCTCAGTATGGTGGAGCAGAGCTGCCACACTGGTCCTGTACCGCTCTACCTTTGTATTTATACGTGAGGGTGGTATACACAGAGACCCAGGATTACAGAGGCTTAAACCTCTGTAATCCTGGGTCTCTGTTACCAGCCCCTTACCCACTTAGAACACTTTCTCCTTGTTCTCCTGAGACTCACTGTTAATTATAAGGCACTGACACTAATGTGGCAAGTATGACAGACATGTTCTACCTAAGAACCACAGGGTCGGAGGAAGAATCTTAGGCCTGATTGTCAGACAGAAGACAGTTCTAGTAGCAGGTCAGCCATTTACCAGCAGGGAGACTGCAGACACACGAAATTGCCTCTCCCAGTGAGGAAACAGATACACAGAGGTGACTTCTCCATTTGTTATACTAAATTATTATTATTAATGAACAACCACCATGAGAATAGAAATAAAAAAGATAAACTAAAATAGATGTCAAATTTTTCTTACTTGGTAGTGAAAACTGCAAACTGCATGATTATTTGTGATAATGAAAAAATAAAGAGCAGCCAGGCACGGTGGTACGCACCTGTAGTCCTAGCAACTCAGGAGGCTGAGGTGGGAGATCTGCTTGAGCCCAGGAGTTTGAGGCTGCAGTGTGCTATAATCATACCTGCAAATAGCCACTACACTCCAGCCTAGGCAACATAGTGAGACCCCCATCTCTAAAAACAATATTTTAAAATAAAGGACATCTGATTTCCCCTGGAATTCTAATATAGCAATTCTTTTTTTAAATAGAACTTTCTTTTAAAAACCAACTTTTAGTTTTATTTTGGTATGGAAGGTAACTTAGAGGAATGTATAAATTGACACACAAAAAGAAACTTAAAACAGATTCTGGAAAAGGAACATATAGCAGTGGTTTAAGACTACAAAAAAACCTTCTAGCATCTTCCCAGTTTTTATAGTAATGAAATTATTACATGTATTTTTTTTTTATTTCAAAAAATAACTTATAAAGGCTGAATGCATTCAAAGCCACATTACTGGTCAGTTACCTTGACAATATTGCTTTCCATTTGGTTATGACAATGTCGATGCTCTGTCATTTAGGGTATAGCAAGCACTTGGGTATAGACCTGCAGCAGACATAAACCTCTCCCACTTCAACCTTCTTTGAACAATAGCATAGGAATTGGTAGGAGCCACCTATTTACTCACCAAGGAAACCTGCTAAAAGGTTTGCCTGGCTCTAGTTTCTTCTACTATTGTTAAAGTGTTTATCTGTTTAAATTCTTGACCATAATAACTGCTGTAGGTCAGCTGCTCCACAAGAAATTTCTCTCTTGTTTTTTTTTTTTCCCTCAGAGACAGGGTCTCACTATGTTGCTCAGGCTATCCTTGAACTCCTGAGGTTCAAGCTATCCACCTGCCTCAGCCTCCCAAAGTGCTGGGATTAAAAGTGTGAGCCACTGTACCAGGACCCTCTCCAAGAAATTTCTAGGCACATATTATTGACTACTGTAACATATATTTGCCCTTAGGTCATGTTATTTAAATTGTCACTAACAAGGTGACCATTTTTCAAGGCACGCTAAGGCAAGTACAGAGACAGCTCAAACAATGTGTGCTTTGCTTTCTTTTTCCCATGCTTGCAATTCCTGACTCATGTTCTCATCTACCATTTCAAGCCTCACCTTAGGCCTCCTGGCACAGCTCCTACCCTCAGATAAAGCCAAAGCACCGGCAGTTCACAAAAGCTGCTTCCTGGGCCCACTCATTCCCCAGCCTGGGTCTCATTCAGTGTGGTATCTTACACAGCCTCTTCCAGACTATACCATCACTGTCAGTTTACCAGTGTCTCCTTCAGAGGCCTTGTTTACGCTTAATTAAATCAAGCCTAAAAATTACTTGTTGAACACAGAGTTTAAGACTTCAGAAGCCAAATCAGTATATTTTTTAAACTTATGATTATCTCTACACAGTGTAATTGTACAAAATTCTTAAATATATTTCAGAACTTCTAATAATTATGAACACTTTCATTTTTAAAGTCCTCAGATTATGAGTACATTGATAATCAATATTAGGTAACAGTATTTTCTTAAATAATGTCAGAAACAGCCTTAAAAAAAAGAATCAGGCAAATCTGCACATTGCCAATTAATGACTTACTTTTTCAACATACTCAAACACCAAGTACAACTTTCCCCTCCGACGAAATGCTTCCTTCAGCTCCACAATGTTTTCCTGCTTGAGAGTCCGAAGCATTTTAAGCTCTCGTAAAGTCGTTTCCTTGACTTCTTCATTTTCTAGAATGTAAACAATGGTGAAGAGAGTAAAATGAAAACTTCCAAACTACTATTCAAAGAATTCTAAGAACACTGAAAACATCCCAATTTCACCTTCCACTTTGAGTACTTTTGCCTAAGAAGTCCCAGAATGAAATATTAAATACCACGTTTTCTGGTTGAAAGGATCAAGAATAATAGAAGAAACGGTTTACTTAATCAGCACAAACTTGATTTTCTGCTTATATATTTTTATGCTCCTTTTACTACAGTGTATGTGTAAAAACACACTTATAGATACAAGATATGCATCCATTGTCATTTGAACTCTAACACTCAATACTAGGAAAGAAAGATTAAAAGGGCCATAAGGAATCAAAAGTGTCAGTGTGCAGAGGAACCTCTATGCGGCCAGCATCTGTAGTAGTTGATGTTTTTAAGGATGGTCTGAAACTTTGGCCTAAAAGAGTATTTTATTCCTCAGGCTGCATGAGTCACCTCAGGGAGCAGAGGTCATGCGCCAAGTATCTACAATGCAAGTCACAGCCAAGTTGCAGGGAATTCTGAGAAGGTCTAATCTTCTCTCTGAACAGCAGTTGCTGTAGGTTCCTGCTGTCCTCCCTGTGGCATGTCCATCTGTCCATCCCAGGTGGTGTAGCTGTTCTGGGATGGAGAATTTATGCTGAACCAATAGATCCTCTTCCATACCATCAACTTCATTCATGATAACCTCCGTGGTCATAGAGGAAGGACAGAAGTTATATTAACTCTAATGGATTAATTGGCAGGAGAGTGATGAAAATATTTCTATTTAAATGAGTTTTTATTATACCTTTAGATTTAGCCTGGAAATTCTGACTACCATGTTTTTGCATATATGTACCAGGATACAGGATCATAATCCCTCATCTACAATCCCAAATCCAAAACACAGTCTAAAAACTGAAAGCTTTTTCTAAGTTTGGGGCAAATTCACTGAGAGGTAACACCTGACTTGACCTGAGACTACTTACAGTCTTTGTTTATCCCATCTAATATGAACATTCATATGTTGCACTATAGAAATATTAATTACTGGGTGCTATATATTATAATATGCCCCATGTCCATTCTAAAATCAAAAAATTATGAATTCGAAAACATGTGGCCACAGGCTTTTGGGTAAGGACCAGAATCCCAGCTGGAGAGCTGGGTGACCCTCAGGCTCAGACCTGTCTTTCAGTGTGAGAAGGAAGAAAATGGAGTGTGAAGATACGGGCGTGGAAGTCTAATAAATACACTCTCTAGAAAAAAGGCTCTCTAAGCAAGGCACGCAGGAGGAAAAAGGCTAAATGGACGCCAAAGGGAGAGGGAAGATTCTAAATGCAGAGCCAGGAGTGTTTCCTCAGATTATTTTCTATCCCAGCCCCCTTCCCCAACCTCCACTCAAATTGAGTTTAAAGAAAAGGGACTGACATAAAAGCAAGGGCTTTGTAGAACCTGAGTATCCATAACAAACTGGAAGCATAGAGTCAACACTCCCTTATGAACTGATTACATAAGTGAAGTTTCTACTTTAGCCAGAAAGCTATTGAAGAACTCTGGAACACAGATTAGGACCAAGAGAGACACTGCCTATGAGAAGACAAGAACCAGCAGTAGGAAAGGCTGTGGCATAAGCAGTGAATTACCTGGCTCACACCAAGGCAGTCAACAGGGAACTGGGTACTTACAAGGGAAAGAGCATGACAGTGGATGCCACCCGACAGTAGGGGAACGTCTGAGATGCAATCGCAGATATTCCAAAGTGGCTTGGAGGATTGGGAGGGGACAAAGGTCCAGGTGTTCTACAAGTTGGGGCTGAGCCAGAGCAGTGGTGTTCTGTGACCATTAGAATGCTACGGTAGTTGCAGCTGCTGAAGCCCAGGGAACACCAGCAGTTTCCTAAAGAAGCAAGATCAGGAACATGCTTCTCTGATAGTCCCTCTGAGTTACTCAAGATTGGGATAATCAAACTAAAATCCATCTATCTCTAAGAGACAGAATAACACACCGATCTCAAATAAGAAACAAATTATCTAATAAGGGACTAACTTAACGAGACAAGTCTACTAATTACTGATGACCTGGTCTCTGCCTGCCTTTCCATCCCCATCTCATGTCCCTCTCCCTCTCCCTCACCTCTATTTTCCCAAAATAGCCCCAAACTTGATTTTTCCACCTTAATGGCCTTCACAGTTGCTCCCTCTGCCTACAATGCTCAGTCTACTACCTAGGCTCTTGATAGGGCTCGCTCCTTCAGGTTTTAGTTCAAATGTCACTCCTCCAGAGCCTTCCCAGACCACTAAAGCAAGAAGGCCCCCATCCTCATTATTCCTTGTCACAGTTCTGGACTTTTTTTTCACAGAACTTCTCACCATTTTTCTTGATATATTTGTTTGCTTAGTGGTATACAATCTATGCAGCCACCCCTGCTAAATCAAGAGCTCAAGGAGGACAGGACTCAGTTCTGTTCAGCAATATACACCAGGACTGTACCTGACATAAAAAGAGGTGATCAATACATTCTTCCTACATGAATGCTTCACCTGGGGCCATAAGGAAACTGCTTATACATGACTAGCTCTTCCTCACTTCAGCCACAGCAGGGGAAGGTAAACAATAGGCACTTTGCCCTCTCAGTTTTCTTACAGCACTGCCAATTTCCTCAAGCACCACTTATCAGGCAGTAAGAGAAACTGAATTTCTTTTTTCCCCTATTCACCTCTGTCCCTAGGTGTCTTCTACAGTATGTGATTAGAAACAATGAAGGATACAGAACACTGACAGTGCTCAGGGTCAAGAACACACACCCATACATGCACACAAACACATAAATAGACATAAAACCAGAGCATCCAGAAGCCATGCTGGAGCTGGGTGCAAATAAATGTTGCCACAAAGTCACTAAATAAATACAGCTGGTATATCATCCTTAATCACATGCTTGGTGAATTCTTGGTAATGGAAATGCGAATGAAACAACATTATATTTGTTACCGACTTGTGGCAGTTTCACTTTGCTAATGGAATGTGGCAGTTTCACTTCAGAATGGCCGCATCAGAATGGTTTTAGTAGAAGAACAGTGGACTAGGACTAGGGAGACCTAGATTCTGGGCTCAGCCTTTTAATCAACTAACAGTACACCATGCAACTTTAGGCAAGCCACTTATCCTTTCATCAGTAAAAGAAACGAATATATGCCTCCATCTCTCAAAAATCCTATTGCCTTTTTGAAATCTAATAATCTATTATTTCTTTTCATAAAATCTTATTGATTACGAGCCTAAACCTCATGGAACTTGGGTGCTTTGTTATATATACATTATTCGAATCTGTATTGACTCCACCTAACAATGGTTAGAGAAGATAATGAATCATCAAAAAGAAGCACACAAAATTACCTAGAATGTAGTCTCCAAACAACCTCATCTGAGCAGCTGTTTTAGAAAAGAAAGGCTTCTCTACTTTATTCCAGTAATAGTATTAAAAGTTGAGGTAAACACTTGAGCACTAAGATTGCGAAGAATGGGAATAGGCAAGAAGTGGAACTAATTCCCGAAGTTCAAGCAAAATGGGCACTCTTCAGTATTGGGTACATCCTATAATTTTGTTTTTCTAAGTACTTTGAAGGTTCTTGGCCTGCCCTGTACTTTATGATGAAAATTGTGCAACTAAATTATCAGATGATGGTGGGGGGGAGGGGAAGGCATGCACATTCCAATTACACAAGCTTCTAGTCTCAGAGGTACACAAAGTAGCAAAGCATTTTCTAAGGCATTGCAAAATGCCCTAAAAAAGCATTCGGTAAGGCATTTTCAAAAGATGGTAGCAGAGCCCACTGAAATAAGCACAAAAATCACTGCCATCTAGTTGAAATAATCCCTGTGGATTGTTTGTCTAGGCTAGGATTCTTTATCAAGGCTGGGCTCCAGTTTATAAATGAAGAAACCAAGTCTAAGAACAATAACTTTCTCAGGGTATGTGAGCTGAGGGTCACATTCTACCTCATAGTCTGAGTAGAATACAGGGACAAAGGTGGCATAGTACAATACAGTAAGTTTTGGAAAGTTAATCACAGTACCCAGGTTCAGGTCTAACTATGTTACTGTTTAGCTGAACGGCAAGGCAGCATAGTATGGGTGGAAGAAAATCTCAATGAAGATCCAGGGTCGGCATTTTAGCCGCAATTATTCACAAACAAGCTATGCAACTTTGGGCCTGAGGTCCATCATCTGTATACTGGGGCTGAGTTATACTAGATTATTCGGAAGGACTCCTCCTGAGTCCAACCTTCTATGTGATAGCTGCTTATGTGCATGCTGACCCACCTTGTCATCAGTTACCACTGAGGGAATTTAGCTTAACACAGGATCAACTCTGACAAAGTTATGTGCAGATATATAGAAACCCTACTGAGTGAGGACAAAATGGCAAGGTGGAAAAGGATGTTAAGTAAAAACAAAAAACTGTCCTACTTCTAAATTTACCACTAAGGCAAAGTAACACACCTAAAAATCAAGAGCGATTCGCTAAAGTAAAAGAGAACAATTCTTAAGAAGAAAGATCACAGGAGCAAAGGAGATTCAAAGATAAGTAATGAAAAGAGAAAAATCTAAAGATGAGCAGAAACTCTATTGTATATCTATTTTTAAAGAACTGTGGGCTTAGAAAGGAAATCCAGGAATAGCTGTAACCTACTTTGTGAAATCACAAACCTGACATTTTTGTATAGCCAAAGAGCCCCCTGCCCCAAATGGACCTTTTTAAACAGATAAACTGATAAAGAAAAATCAACCCATTCTTGATCAAAACCACGGGGATACCATATTTGAGTCTGGTTGCTCTTATTAAAGAAGGGACATCAATAGACAGACAATGTGGCTGAGGAAGTTTGAATGCTAGTGCTACTGTTACATACACGAAGAAAGATGTGGACCTCCAATCTTTAGAGATGAAGAACAGGTAAAAGCAGAGTAAGGAGAAATTTATTAAATCACAG